CTGCGGCAGCCGCGGGCTCCTGCGTGAAGGTGGGCCGGAGGGCGGCGGCGCCGTTGCCGGCCCGCGGCGATGGCCCAGTGTGTACAATCCGTGCAGGAGCTCATCCCGGATTCCTTCGTTCCCTGCGTCGCCGCGCTGTGCAGCGACGAAGCCGAGCGGCTCACGCGCCGCAATCACCTGAGCTTCGCGGAGCTGCTGAAGCCTTTCTCGCGCCTCACTTCCGAGGGTAGGTGGTGTCCCCCCGGTTCCCCGGGCCGCCGCCAAGCCGGGGCCGCGAGAGGGAAGTCGGGGCAGACAGGGGAGCGACAGCGCCGTTTACGCCCCGGAGCCGGCGGGGAGGCGTCGGAGGCCGGGCCCGCGGCGCCGCGGCGGCTGGAGGAGGGGCGCGAGCGGGGCTGTCGCGAGCGCGGTGCCCTCCGCTTCCCTCCTCGCGGAGGAGCCGGGTCAAGTAACCAAGAAGTGAGCCTCCGAGAAGGTGGCTGAGATTATCCTCCTCGGCCCCGGGGGTAGAAGCAGGCAGGTGCGAAGCCGCCTTGGAAAGGACCGGTCTCTGAGTAAGAAAGATCTGTCACCTCGTCCCGGGCCTTACACTGGACTTTCAAAGTTACCTTGAGTATTACGAGACAGGATCTACGGCTGGAACAGCCTTCAGTGCTGAGAGTGATCACTGACCAAACTTCTGTTCAGCTATTATTTTACTTTTTTCTTTGAACATTTAAGCGTTTTCTTACATATACAGTCTTTTTTTTGGTTTGTTTGTTTTTTTGAGACAAGGTCTTGGTTTGCAGCTCAGGCTGGCCTTGAGCTCACTTTGTAGCCTAGGCTGGTCTTGAACTTGCAAAGATCCTCCTGCCTCAGCCTCCCCAGTGCTGGGATTATAGGTGTGTGCCACCACGCCCGGTTGTTACATATACAGTCTTTTGTCTAGTCTCAGAGTTTCGCCCTTGGTAAGTGAAAAAGGTACATAAATGATAACCTTTTGCCTAAACGGTGAGGAAGGAAAGACAAATTGTGCTTAATTTAATATCGATGTTTAATTGTCTAGGTTGGTAGGCATAGAAAAGTCCTAACATTTGTTTTTTCATATAGGCATTTAATCTTAGGAAGAAGCGTCTTCTCATTGAGGAGTTACCTGTTCTCTCCAGTTTTATTTTATTTTATTTTTTTTTGGTACCGGGAATTGAACTCCAGACCTTGCGCTTGCCAGGAGTGCGCTTATACCACTGAACTATACCCCCCCCTGCTCTTTCCCGTTTTAATACTTGATTTAGGAAGAATAGGTGGGTTAAGCCATGCTTGAACTTTTATTTTTCCAAGTGTACTCCATATACGGTTTAATCAGCATCTTGCAAACAGAAGATGGCAAAAAGTAAAACGAAAGGACCCGTGATAAATCTTCATCACACTAATGATAGTGACCTTTATTGTGTTATGGTGACTTCTTCCTAAGAAGAAAAGAAAGTTCAGTACTGTAAATTCAAGTCTTACATGCCACAGGTGTTCTTTATGGCAGCTCCTTTACAGATTAGCTTTTTGTATTTAAAGAGGGAGGGAGCTGTCCAAAAACACATGTGGGAATGGTTGGATTTTCTTCAGCCTGTTACTAGTCTCACCTCCTCTGATCCTGTACTAAGACAACAAGAACAACAAAATGCCCTTTATGTTTAAATTCTTAAAAAACACAAATACTCAAGAGGCAGTTGACTTTGTGTGTGCTTTTTCCTATTTTGTTGATTAAAAATAGTGAAAACAGTGTACATGATACCTATTTTATGTAGCTTTTATCTTTTAGTCCTCGCTGAATCCTGTTATTACTGTTCTAAATTTGAGGACACTGAGGCATAGAAATGTTAATTTGTCTACAGTGTTATGTCTGGGAAAGATTTTAATTAAAAACAGGCAGTGTGAATCAAGCGTTATGTCCTTAATCACCAAATCATCTTACCACCTCACAATACCTGTGTTTGGAATTATTCTAGCAACAGTGTTGTCCAATAGAAACAAAATCTGAGGTGCTGGGGATGTAATTCAGTGGTAGAGCACTTGCCTAGTGTGTGAGAAGTGCTTGCTGGTCTCAGTCTTCACCATGAAAGACAGAGAGAAGAAGGTGTTTTAGTGGTCATATTAAAAAAGGAAAAGTGAGAGACCTCCCTCACTTTTTTTTAAACTGAGGGTTGAGCAATATCCCTAACCTATTAAATTTTTTTTCTTTCTTTTTCTTCTCTTTCCTTTTTTTCTTTTTATTATTTTTTTAACTTTCCTTTCTTTCTATTATTTTTTTAAAGATAAGGTCTCACTATGTAGTTCAGGCTGGCCTCGAACTCACAGTAATCCTCCAGCCTCAGCCTCCCAAGTGCTGGGATTACAGGTGTGCGCCACCATGCTTGGCCTACATTCTTTATTATTGTTAAGTTTTTGAAATTTGCTCTGTTTTATACTTTGCATCTCAACTTAAGAGTAGACACATTTCAAGTGCCTAGTAACTACATGGGGCTGGTATCTTCTATATTGGAAGTGCAGTACAGGCTCAGTGTCAGTACATTGCTGATTTCTCTTTCCAGATGGGGAACTAAAGTATTACGATGAGTTGGATGTTAATGATAAGTAGAGAGGTGACAGAAAGGAAAAGGGCAGTCATTCTCTACTGAGGAGGGAGGGATGAGGTAAGGGCAGAAGGTGTAGATACTGCTTAATGCTTATTGAACAGTGGGGAAACTTCCTACTTAAGTACAGAATGGTAAGGGAAGACCTTAAATCTAGGAAAGGATTTAGAAATTTCATTTCTAATGAAAGTCATAGTTTCTTGAGCAAGACTATGAAATTTTGGGAGATTAATGAGTTGTGTGGATAATAAGGATAGATAAGGAGTTGATACAAGTTGTAATGTTTCAGATGACTAAGATATGAACTGTAGGGATGGTATCACAAATTTGATGAAAAAGATTTAATCTTTCTGTGGCTTAGTTTTTGCTAGTAAATAAATTTTGAGATTCTCTGCTATATGGAACAGGTTGCTTTTGTACTACTTGGGGAGATTCCTCAGCTTTTCTTTAGGTAGTAAGACCTGAGAATATCACTTCAGGCAATGTAATTTGGTGGGGAAAGAAAAGCTAGATTTCCTTTTCTGGCTGCAGGTTTGCTGTTTTTTTTTTTTTTTTTGGTTGTTGTTTGTTTGTTTTGTCCTTTTGAGACAGGGTCTTGCTATGCAGTTCAGGTTGGCCTTGAGCTCACTTTGTAGCCCAGGCTGGTCTCCAATTCCAAGCGATCCTCCTGTCTCAGCCTCCCGAGTGCTGGGATTATAGGCATGAGCCACCGTGCCTGGCTGGTTTGCTATTATTTAGAGTAAAAAATTTGCTTTAACTACTGTGATCAGCTACATTATTGCCAAATACAATGTCAAGTATTTCAGGAGACTTTTATTTTTAGGTTTCAGAAGAAAAAATACATGCTTTAATGCTATACTAAAGAGAGGGTTGTTAGAAGAAATTTGAGTACTGTTCATCTGTAGGACCTGAAAATAGTTGAGGCCTGATATATTAGACAGTGGAGAACCATTTTAGATTCCTTAGGCACATTTTTTTTTTTTGTACCGGGAATCAAACGCAGGACCTTGCACTTGCCAGGCAGGGGCTTGTGCCACTGAGCTATATCCCCATCCCTAGACACATTTTTAAAACTAGAATCATAGTGTATTCTTCATATCATAGTAGAAAGTGGTTATAAACCAGGCATGGTGGCACAGACTGTAATCCCAGCACTCCAGAGACTGAGGCAGGAAGATCACAAATTAGAGGCTACCCTTAGCTGCATAACGAGTTCAAGGCCATCCTGAATTACATAGTGAGACTGTTTCAGAAGAACCAAGGGAAAAAGTAGAAAATATATTCTTCGTATGTGAGACTTACTTTCATTGTTCAAAACATTATTCAACACACATTTCATGATCCTAATACTTCTCTTATTTCCTGAGGTGCAGGGGGATCTAACCAGGACCGAGGCAAGCAATCACCACTGAGCCGCATCCCCAGGTCCCTCATACTTCTTGAAGAATCTCCCCTGGCCATCTGTTTCAAAGAGTAGTCTTTTTTTTTTTTTTTTTGTCTTTTTGAGGCAGGGTCTCGGTATGCAGTTCATGCTGGCCTTGAGCTCACTTTGTAGACCAGGCTAGCCTCGAACTCGCAAAGATCCTCCTGCCTCAGCCTCCCGAGTGCTGGGGTTACAGGCATGTGCCACCACGCCCGGCTAGTAGTCATGTTTGTAGTAATTGACCAACTCTTACTGCTTTTGTTTAGTAATAGTTCTTCGATAATTTTAAACAGTTCAGTATATCATTTAGCCATTTTGTAAGTTTTAAGAAAATTTCAATTAGTAACTTTGAAATATGAGTTTCATTTTCATTTTTTATTTTTTTTGGGGGTGCCAAGATCTTGCTTTATAGTTCAGGCTGACCTTGAACTTGCAGCCATCCTCCTTCCTCAGCTTTCCAAGTACTGGGATTACAGGTGTGTAACACCAACTTTGGCTCTCATTTTTGCAGTATTTGAAAATTGTGGGCCAGGTGTGGGGTACACCTGTGATCCTAGCATTGGGAGGCCAAGGCAGGAGGATCGCTATGAGTTTGAGGGCAGCCTGAACTGAATAAATGAGTTCAATGCCTACCTGCACTACATCGTGAGATTCTGTCTCAAAAAAAAGTTCCTAAAGATACAGAAATGCCCCATTTAAGTATGTATGTAGTTGTCTATGGCCAGACCACCTGGAACACACCTGACCTGGTCTAAGTACAATACTCAGTGCTGTTGGTTTTTTTGTGTCTCTTTTACGTAACTAGACAACCTGGGAATTTTAATTAGGGAGAGAGGCCTATATGTGTTTATTTAAATTAGAAAACAATTACTGAACAATGCAGGGGATACAGGAAACTTTGAGATCTCTACTCCCAGAAGTAACAAATATTAACCTTCTGTCATATTTGCTTTGCTTTCCTTTAAAAATAAAGCAAACAGCCGGGTGTGGTGGCGCACGCCTGTAATCCCAGCACTTGGGAGGCTGAGGCCGGAGGATCGTTGTGAGTTCAAGACTAGCCTGGGCTACAAAGTGAGCTCAAGGCCAGCCTGAACTGTATAGTGAGACCCTGTCTCAACAAGACTTGAAAAAAAAAAAATGTACTCTATCCTAGGAGTGCAAGGGCTGTTCCTCTTCTTAGTATACTATCAAAAAATAAAGCAAACATTGTTGATAAGGTTGAAATTGTTCTACTTCTTGATCTCATTTCATCCTTTTGTAATTAATCATGGGCAATTACTGTGAATGAAATTTGCATATGTATTTTGTGTGTATATATTTACAATGTATGTGTGCATTGATTAAAAATTTTAGAAAACAACTGAGAGAATACAATTTTTTTTTTTTTTGAGACAGGTTCTCCCTGTGTAGTTCAGGCTGGCCTTGAACTCACTATATAGCCCAGCATGACCTTGAAATTTTGACAATCCTCCTGTCTCAGCCTCCCGAGTGCTGGGATGACAGGTGTGTGCCACCACACCTGGCAAGAAATTTGGAAAGATAATTTTTTTGGTAATTACTGAAAATGTAGTTAATTTAAATTGCAAAAGCTTTTTATTTGGTATAGCACATTTTCTGTTGAGGAAAAAGAAGGGTATCCTTTAAATCCTTTAAATGAGTGGGTGGCCCTGCCCCTTGGGTTTTTGGAGACAGGGTCGTGCTATGTATTGTGCGCTAGGCTTGAACTCACTATGTGTCCGGGCTGGTCTCAAACTCATCAGTTTTCATGCCTCAGTCTCTCGAGTGTCCGGTGGCCACTTTGTCTGATGACCCATGATGCAGTTGAAATAGGTGGGTACCTTCAGTTGCTCATGCTGCCTCCGTCACTTACTGTCAGACATGCTGCTTCACACTTACTGCCTGACCCAAATTCTTCACATACGGTCACCCAGTGAAGCAGGTGTTAATCACAAGTAACAGATGAGGAAATTGAAGCACAGAAAAGTTGTATAGAGTAATGCAGTTAATAAGTGGTGATTTGGAATTTAAATTAAGATGTGACTCCAGAAGCTGGGTCTTTGATCATTTTAGTGGATTACTTCAAATATTAGTTCCCAACCTAGTTACCTTTCTGATTATACAAAAACAGTGCTTAGGGCTGGGGATATAGCTCAGTAGCATAAGCGCCTGTTTGGTGAGCACAAGATCCTGAGTTCGATTCCCGGTACCAAAAAACAAACGAACAGTGCTTACATTTTCTACTGTGTACGTTGGGCACTGTGTTGCTGCAGTGACTACAGAACCTACTGCCTGAAGCCGTGGTCCATTGTTTGTAAATCTCATAAACTGAAAGGAGCTGTAGCAGGTAGAGACAGGAGGTGTTGCTGCGGTAAAAGCGATCTGGGGGTTGTTGTGTTTTTGTTTTTTTTTTTAAAGAAGATTTTTTTTTCCCTAAAATTTTAAATTTTATTAGTACCTGTTTGAAGTACATAATGGTTAATTCGTGGTGGGGGGTATGTAACACGTTAATTCTTTCTGTACCTTCCCCTCCCCGTGCTAGCCCCCTACAAGTTTATTTTTTAGACCAGTTTTAGGTTCACAGCACATTTGAGCAGAAAATGGAGTTGCCACATCCCCTTTATCCCGCACACGCCCAGCCTCCCTTCCCCGTTGTCCACAGCCCTTACCAGAGTGCGTGTTGATTTTTACTGTAGTGAGACAGAGGGTGAGAATGCCAGCAGAAGACTAGGGAAAGAATGAAGAAGCCCTTTGCAGCGTTTACGTCCCGCTTTCTTCCCTTTACTATGGTCAGATCAGTGTGGGTCCCGCAAATCTTGTGTTGCCTGGCCTAGCCTTAGTGTGAGGTGAGAAGAGATTTAGTAAGGGTGGTGGTTGATTTTTGGCATTTCTAAACACAGGACAAAAGAAGGGATAGAGAGTAGGGGTACTGGCAACAGTAGCAGGCATACGAGGAAGAAATGTAGTGTCCATCTAACACTTGTGCATCAGGGAGTGTTGTAAGTCAGTTATACGCTTGGGGGAATGTCCACTTGGAATCCTGGTTTCTGATTGGAGCACCCTTTTTTGAGACCCACTTTGCTTTCAGTTTGGTTTCTTATGCCTTGTATGGAATTAATTTTGGTGTGTTATGCACTGGGTAGTTACTAATTTCAAGTTTCCTCTCCTTTTCTTTAAAGGTCATATGAGAGATCCTAATAATCAGCTTCACATAATTAAAAATTTGAAGATAGCAGTGAGCAACATTATCACCCAACCACCTCAGCCTGGAGCCATTCGGAAGCTGTTGAATGATGTTGTTTCTGGCTGTCAGCCTGCGGAGGGATTAGTAGCTAATGTGATTACAGCAGGAGATTATGACCTTAACATCAGTGGTATGTACCTATAAAGGTTATTATTTTTTTAAATGAAAATTTCTTTGGTGAAGAAAAATAATTTTGTGATATGGAGACTGTTCAACAAATACTTAGGTGTTTACATAGTGTCTGCAACCTGGGAATGTGGAGAGCAGTGTTGACAAACAACCCCAGGAATTTTGGCTTTTTATTTTATTCTGGTACCTGAAGTAATACCTAAAACATAAGTATAATAAATAGTGCTCACTGAAAAAACAGGCAGCAAATAGCATTTTCTTGTGACATCCGTAATACTGAATTGAATGAAAACATTAAATTTGTTGCACTTTCAATCTTGGTGTTAAGTGGAAGAAATGTTTAGGAAGTATGTGTAAATGCATAATTTTTGAGTATTTCTTGATCTGATTTGAATGGTAGGTGTTTCATAACAAGACTGATAAGTGAAGTATTATATTAATGTGTAAGATGAGTTACTCTTTCCAGTGATTCTTTTCCAATATTAAAAAAGTCTTAATTTACTGAAAGGACATGAGATAAATTTTTAGAAGGAAAAAATTAAAGTACATCATCAAATTAGGATCTTTCTGCAGCCCTGTAAAATAATTTTTTTAGACCTGTGAAATGCTTTAATAGTTCTTAATGTCTTAAAGATTTTCTGAAACATATGCAGCAAGTATAAGTGACATGTTTAGGTCACAAAGTTAGTTGGTTGCCCATGGATGGTTAAAAATATTTGTAGAATTATTTTGTTTAAATGTCTCATAGATTTACTTATTTTCTCTCCTTCCCTCCCTCCCTCCCTCCGTCCTTCACTTCTTTGTTTCTTTCCATACTGGTGATTTTTTTAGTTTTTATTTTTTTTGTCTTTTTGAGACAGGGTCTTGCTCTGCAGTTCAGGCTGGCCTTGAACTCACTTTGTAGCCCAGGCTGGTCTCAGACTCATAACAATCCTGCTGTATCAGCCTCCCGAGTGCTGGGGTTGCAGGCGTGCGCCACCATGCCCGGTTCATACTGGTAGTTGAACCCAGGTGCTCATGCATGCTAGGCAAGCACTCTGCAAGTAACCTATTCTAGCCCTTTATTTCTTATTTTTATTTTTGTTTTATTGAGACAAGGTCTTGCTGTGTAGTGCAGGGATGACAGGCATGCATCACCATGCCCAGTCCCAGCCCTTTTCATTTTTTGAGACAGGGTCTTTTTGCCTTAGGCTGGCTTCACATTTGTGATCCTGTGGTCCTAGCCTCCTGATACCTGAGATTACAGGTGTGCACTACCTAGCAGTTTTTCTTTGCCATTAATTTTAATTCCAGCAGGATAGGTTAGCTTGATTAGTTTTAGTTTTTGGTGCTGAAGTTTAACCCTGCACATGCTAAGCAAGTACACTACCAGACACTTAGCTATACTTTCCAGCCTGGTCATTTATCATTTAGAATATTATGATTACCTGCCAATCCAAAGGGTCTGAATTTTAGGATGCATAATTATAATTAGATCCTGGCACAGTGTTTTCAGCATGCTGCAAACATTTAGCTATTTCCCTGAGAAAGTAGTAGAATTTCAACCTTCGTTTGCCTGTAATGAGTAGCATGAAAGGTAATGAATCAAATGGTAGAGTGTCTTTTCATACTACCTTAGCTTAGTTAACTGGATAATTTGAACAGTTCAGTTGGTGTTTTTAAGACTTTTTTTTCCTGTCTCTGAAAACAAGACAGTTTGGCTAGATTCTTTCTTAAGGTCTCTCAGACGTTTAATCTTGAAATTCTATGTTATAGGATCTTAACATTTCTGTTAGGCAGATAATAAATGTTCATTGATTTACTGCTGTCTCCTTTGCATTGAGTTACATAAATGAATAAGACAGACTTTCTTTCTTTCTTTCTTTCTTTCTTTCTTTCTTTCTTTCTTTCTGCTTTTTGAGACAGGGTATCACTATGTAGTTCAGGCTGCCTTTGAACTCACTTTGTAGTTCAGGCTGGCTTCAAATGCGGTGATCCTCCTGCCTCAGCCTCCTGAATGCTGGGATTACAGGCATGTGCCACCACACCCACTGAAAGCATGCTTTTTAAGTTCATAATCTACAAGAGAGGCAAGCATAGTAATCAAAAATCATAGTACATTGGAATTTATAAATGTTGTAATCACACTGTATTGTAATAGAGATGTTGTATATATGGTATGCCAAAGTGTTAAGGGAACATAGAAAGGGATTACTTACTGTCTTGGTTACTTTTCTCATTGCTGGGACAAAATACCCAACCCACAAGTTAAGGAGAAAAGGTTTATTTAGCTCACAGTTTGTAGTCACAGTTTCAGTCAATAATCGGCTGACTCCAAGGTAGGGTGGCTTGGTAGAGGGACATCTCAGAAGAGAATAGTTCATGGCACCCACAAGGTAGCAGAAGCAGCAAGGGACCTTAACAACAACTTTCTGTCCCGTTTATCTTATCCGGACTAGTTAGGGTGGATAACACTCACCCTTAATCTTAGTGCCCTTGAGTCTAGCATTGCACCATTCCAGCCACCTCTGAAAAAGCCCCACCTATGACCACATGAGACTTTGGGGAGACATCTAGACACAAGCTGTAACACTTACCAGATATGCCTTTTTGAGACAGGTTCTCACTTATGTAGTTCAGGCCAGCTGTGAGCTCACTTTGTAGCCCAGGCTGGTTTTGAACTCGCAGCAATCCTCCTGCCTCAGCTTCCCAAGTGCTGGGATTATAGGTGTGTGCCACCACGCCTGACTCTCACACTTACCATATATGAAAAATAATTTTTTTCTTAAGTTTATTTTAGGTGTTTATAATGATCACATTCAGCATAGAGCATTTGTACTGGTATGTGGTATTCTTTTTGATTCTTTTTTCTCCCATTGTCTTCCCCTCCCTTCAACTTCCCTTCCCCTCCTTATTTACAAAAGCTTTGTTTCCATTTCTTTGTTTTCTCATAAGTTTTTATTTTGCGAATATTTTTTCTGACTGCTGAAGCTCTTTTTTTCCTTTAAATTTTGAGACAAGGTCTTGCTATATAGTTCAGGCTGCCCATGAACCCACCAGGTAGTCCAGGCTGGCCTCAAACTAGCAGTGATCCTTCTGCCTTAGCCTCCCAAGTGCTGGGATTACAGATGTGCACCACCTTGCCTGGCCTGCTCTTCTTTCCTTTAAAAATTTCATCAACATTATATATGCACAAAGGCATGATGCTAGAAAGATTTACATGTAAAAAGCAACAGCAATGATTTATTCTTTGTTCTCTGCCCTACCAATTCCCTTAGTATTTTTTTCTGGTATTATGCATGTTCTTAGTAATGTTTTTATGTTGCTATCTCTGGCTTAATCAGTTTTTCTGCTTTCTTTGTTTTTTGAGATGAGGTCTCACTGTGTAGCCTAGGCTGGCCTTGAATTTGTGGCAAGTCTCCTGCCTCAGCCTCCCAAGTACAGGCATGGGCCATTGTACCTGGTGGCTTGATCAGTTTTAAATTTTATTTATTGACTTCTTTTTTTGTTTGTTTTGTTTTTCTTCTGGTACCAGGAATCGAACTCACGACCTTGTGCTTGCCAGGCAGGTGCTTTGCCTCTGAGCTAAATCCCCAGCCCTATTTATTGATTTCTTGTTAAGATTAATGAGGACTTTGCTTGGTCTCACCCCTGTTTATCCATCTTTTAAGTGTAGTTTTCGTGATTTCAGTATTCACCATTTATAACATCATGACTGAATATTTCTCACTGTACTGCAGTGGCAGTTAGTGGGCTTTCTTGAAAGTGTATTTTGGGAAGTTAGTAACTGTCTTTTAAAAAACATCTTACCAAATGTGGTGGCACACATCTGTAATCCTAGCACTCAGGAGGCTGAGACAGGAGGATTGCTAAGAGTTTGAGACCATCCTGGGCTACATATTGAGTTCTGAGCCAGCCTGAACTGCATAATGAGATCCTATCCCTTTTTTGTTTTGTTTTGTTTTTTTCCAGTACCAGGGATCAAACTCATGACCTTGTGCTTGCCGGGCAGGCGCTGTGCCTCTGAGCTAAACCCCCAGCCCCAGAGACCCTGTCTCAAAAGGAAAAACAACAACAAAACAAAAAAACCCCTTTCTTGTTTACATACTTTGTAATCTCATTTTGTTGTCTCTCAAACTTCCCTAGTAAGATTTTCAATTTGACATATTATGAAATAATAAATTTATGAACATTTTCCAAAAGTCTTTTCTTTTTCTGTTCCCATTTTCAGTGGGGATGATCTCATTTACCAGTGTGGTGAAAATTGCTTAGGGAGTAAAATTTTTAGATATTACAGTAGTTTGTGGCCCTCCAAAGTGTCTGATCCAGGTGTATTTGTGGTATTATTTAAAAGCTTGGGAGCTGGGGAAGTAGTGTAGTGGTAGATCATGAGTTTAGTATGTACAAAACCATGGGTTCAATTCCCAGGAACAGTGAGAAGAGAGGTCAGGGAAAAAGGGGCTAGGAAAGAAGTCTAAAACTGTTAATTGGGGTGGAATAATACAACAAAAATGGAGACATAGTGTTCTGCCCCATCTTGGACTGGTTACTGTCCAGGTTCTCTGGGGATTTCCTTCCTTTCTTTCTTTCTGTAGTTTTTCACTGTTTGGGGGTACATTTCCATGATTTGATAAAGGAGAAATCTCTATTAGCTTCCTGAGAAAGGTACATGGAAGGTAAAATTTTTGAGAAGTAAATGTCTGAAAATGTCCTTACTTCATACAGTTCATTTGTGGTTTGACTATACATTATTAGTTAGAATCTGTTTTCCTCAGAATTGAGCCACTTCTTTCTAGCTTTTAGTGTTGCTCTTAAGCTGGAAGCCAGGATGATACATATATGCCCTCCAATTTTTAGAAGCTGTTAATCCCTGCTGTTTTAAAATTCCATGTTGGGTCTGTTCTGACTCCTTTTTTAGTCATTGTGTTAAGCAGCTCCTTTTGACAATTTGGTCCTGCATGCTGTTTAGTTCTAAGAAATTTTCTTGAATTCTCTATTAACTTCTTCCCAATTGTTTTTCCTGTCCTTCCTGGAACAACTGTTAGTTGGATGTAGAATTTCATGAGTTGACCTTTAATGTTACCTTTTTCTAGTATTGCCTGTTTCTGACTGTGTTCCCTACTGCTGGGGCAAATTACCTGAGGCACAGAATGTACGAGGAGGGGGTTATTTGGCTCATGGTTTCAGAGGGTTCCGTCCACGGTCAGCTGACACTAAGGCAAGAACGTCATGGTGGGAGGGCACGGTAGGAGGGTGGTGGCAGGAAGCAGAGCAGGGAAATAGTGCGGGAGTGGTAGGGGAAAGGGACCAGATGTAGTGTCCAAGGTCACGCCTCCATGGCTCACCTAGATGTGCCCATGAGTGTGCTGTATTAATCTGCTAAGCATGTCTTAATCCACTCCAATTGACAATCCTGATTAATAGTCATACTGTCTTTTGATTTGATTTAATTTCTTCCTTTCCTTTTCCTTTTCCTTTTCCTTTTCCTTTTCCTTTTCCTTTTCCTTTTCCTTTTTTTGTCCTTTCTGTCCTTTCTTTCATACAGGATTTTGTTATGTAGTTGAGGTTGCCCTTAAACTCACTGAGTAGCCCAAGCTGGCTTTGAACTCAGTGATCTTCGTGCCTCAGCCTCATGAGTGCTGGAATTATAGGTGTGCACCATCATGACTGGCTTTTTGACTTATTATCGGGGCAATAGCCTTGACTTTGTCTTCTGACTCTTTTTACTGAAATTTTAGGACATGTCTCAAAAAGAAATTTAAATGTTTATAGTCATACTAGTTTTTTTTCTTTTTGGTCTTTTTGAGACAGGGTCTCACTATGCAGTTCAGGCTGGCCTTGAGCTCAATTTGTATCCCAGGCTGGCCTCTAACTCACAGTGATCCTCCTGCCTCAGTCTCCTGAGTGCTGGGATTGCAGACGTATGCCACCATGCCCGGCTCTAGTCATATTATTTTTCTTTAAAGGATTTCCTTGTTTTCTGTATTTTCAAATTTTGTATCATGCTATTCTTGTTTCATGTTGTTCTTCTAGATGCTATTCTTGTTTTGGTCAGTGCTGGAGATGGAGATCAGGGTTTTGAACATGCCAGGCAAGTGCTCTGCCATTGTGCTACCTCCCCAACCTTAATTTTTGTTTTATTCATGCCTTTTCTCTTATTCACAATATTTTTCAGTTTCTGTGTTTTGGTCTCTTGTTCATGTTGGATACTTTCCTCAAACGTCTGGTCAGAGCCCTTGACACTTTTTTGTTTCAAATTAAGGCATTAAAGACTTTATTGAGCATAGAAAGCCTTACCAGTTAACGGGTTTCTTTGATAGTGAGGTTGTGAGTAGACTTGAGGGTTGAACAGTTTGTATTGCTTACAGTTCTTTTCTTTGAAACCATTTAGTTTCTTTTTTTAAATCATTTAGTTTCCTCCAAGTAGACTCAAACCTGCTTTCTGGATGTGTACTAGGGGTCTTACTTGTTTTAAAACAGTCTATTAAAAGTAATTTAGCAGGCCGGAGATACAGCTCAGTGGCCCACGTGCCTGCCTGGCAAGTTCAAGGTCCTGAGTTCGAGTCCCAGTACAAAAAAAAAAGACAATAAAAGTGATTTAGTAGGTACTTTTCAATATAGTCATTATTTGTGAGAAATTATTCTATTATGTATGTCATAATATTTTCAGGGCCCTGCCAATATCTCTGCACAAGGAAAGATTGTTATTTGCCTTTAAAAACAGGTGGCTACACACCTGTAACCCCTGCTACTTGAGAGGCTAAGGCAGGGATCACAAGTTTGAAACTGCCCTAGGCAACTCAGTGATATTCTGTCTTAAAATAAAAAAGGCTGAGGAAGGAGTTCAGTGGTAGAGTACCCCTGGCTTTGATCTGCAGCCCCCCTAAATAAAATAGAAGGAAAAACTTAAAGTAGATGGAGGCATTATTATGGTTGAACTTATTAGACAGATTTTTAAAAGAATCCCAGGTGGTTAGGATAAACCATGTATGAGAAGAAAAATATTTCTTCAGCTTCTTTTCTGATAACTTTCAGCCACCTCCTGTTGGTTGTATTCTCTGGATTTAGCCTAGAGCCTAGCATACGCTAATCACAAACACTGTAGCACTGAGCTACTCATCCAGTCCTTAGCTTTATTTTTATGGCCTTGGAAACTGGGAATAGGAATGATTAAGTATGTATGTAATTCTTTGGAGTCAAATTCCACTATAGTAGAATAAAATTCTGGATAGTATTAAAATGGCAATTTTATCCATTTTAAGAATGTATTAATTATATATCCAGAAATATTTTTCTGACTTTTAGCATGAATGTAAGTCAACATACTTTACATCCATTCTGTGTAAAAAAGTAGATGTTAGATATTTACCTCATAAGCCTAGTTTAACAGTGCCATATTTTCTTCATCAGATCGGTCAATTAAAGCTAGTGTTCCTTGGTACAGTAATTGGAAAGACACACTGATGGAATTGAAAGAATCCTCGTTATACACAGGTATTTCTTATGGTGGTCTCAGTTTTGCAGCTTGTGCTCACTTTACTCCTTGTCTGTTGTCTTTTTCCCTACTTAGCTAATACTTTTTCCATATTCTTCCCAATTAACAAGTTTGATTTTCCTAAAATAAAGGCAGTCTGGTGATGTTCAACTTTTGTGTTACCTTTCTTATCATCTGTTATCTATTGTGTTTACTCTTGATTTACATTATCTGCTAAATCCAGGCATTGTCCTTCAATATAAGTTTGGGCTGCATCTTATTTTGATAAGGGAAATCATATTATACTTCCTTACCAAGTACATTTCACATAGAGAAACTTTAGTAGGTTAACATCATTGCTGTTTGTATTCCAGATAAAAAATATGAAGAGATAAAGGGGTATAAGTAAAGCAGTGAATTCATCCCAGGATAAACGCAAGAGAATTTTTAAGGAAAGATAATTATCCCCAAGTGTTAAAATCTTCTGTTACCATGAAAATTTTTAAAAGCCCTTCCTTTTCTATTAAAATGTCATTTGAAAATGGAAAAAGAAAAAGTAAAATGATGCCCATGGTTTATTGGCATTTAACAAACTAAAGGACAAAAGAACCATAGCATATTTATGTTCCCAGTACCTCCAGGAAACATGAGTGGGGAAAATAGAGTAACTTGAAAGTGACCTATCTCAAGATGAAAGCCAATTTTTGTCATATATAGTTTTTCTTTCTTTCTGTATCCTTAATTCAGTACCCAGTGGTTTTTTTATATCAATATACATAGTTATTATTTCAGTTTAAGAAATTATATGTGTATGAGTGCTTTGCTTTTTGCTTTTTAATTATTGATTTCTGTAGTTTAAAAGTCAAAATTATAAAACATATAGAGAAATCTAGTCTGTACCATATTCCTTTACCCTCTCATACCTCCTCTTTTTCTTTTTCTTTTTTTTTTTTTGTCTTTTTGAGACAGGGTCTCAGTATGCAGTTCAGGTTGACCTTGAGCTCACTTTGTAGCCCAGGTTGGCCTTGAACTTGCAATGATCTTCCTGCCTCAGCCTCCCGAGTGCTGGGATTACAAGTATGCGCCATCACGCCTGGCCTCTCCCCCCCTCCCCCCATAATTGTACTGTGTTTTAGTTCATTTGTTTTGCCATGCTGAGGATCACACCCAGGGCTTCATGCATGCCAAGCAGCACTTTACCACCGGGTGACATCCCCAGCCCACTTGTATTAGCTTCATCTATTATTTCTTTTTGAAAACATAAAATACATGTGTGGCTCTTTATGACTTTTCTTTGTTGTTTTACACAACAATGCATGCTCTTGCTGTTGCTTATGGGTGCCTAGTGTACTATTTAATGCATGTACTATTATAGTTCATACACAGTGGTCTCCTGATGAGAGTTTTCTAGTATTTTGTTATTATAAATAATGTTACAAAGAATAGCTGTTTTGGAAGATTCACTTTATTTATTCAGAGCCCCTGATCCCTACTACAATACTAGCCGTTTCTCATATGAGTACAGTTTTCTCATTTGATAAATTTAGAAGCAATGAAGTAAAAAGATAAATAGAAAAATGGTCATAATAGGTACAGATGCGTAGTCATTTCTTCATATCTGTAGAGATATGTTCTTTCTTTCTTTCTTTTTTTTTTTTTGTTTTTGAGACAGGGTCTCTCTATGTAGTTCAGGCTGGCCTTGAGCTCACTTTGTAGCCCAGGCTGATCTGGAACTCACGATGATCTTCCTGCCTCAGCCTCCCAAATGTTGGAATTACAGCCGTGCGCCACCACATGCAGCGAGCTATGTTCTTAACCAAAAAATTTATTACCTCTTTTCTTGCCGTTAGTTCTGAATGAAAATATATGTTAATTTTCCAACCAGGTACTTATCTGACTGATTTGGTGGGGGAGGGAATATGTTATTGGTTGGTGAGAAAATTCATTTCCTATTGTAAGAGACACTAATTCCTATTATTCATGCTCCAATTTTTGCCATTTTTCATATAGATGAGAGTATTTCTGGCAATAGTTTTATAGCAGTGAACGCAGAATTGTTATAATACTAGCCTCCTAATCAGGCTATGTTGTGTGGATCATTCTAGTAAGCATTTGTTTAAATTCAAAAATTTTGTGTATTTTTTTTGAACTGGGAATAGAACTCAGGACCTTGTGCTTGCCAAGCAAGGCACTGTGCTGCTGAGCTATATCCCTGGCCAAAAAAAAAAAAAAAAAAAAAGAAAAAAAAATGTGTATTTGGCATTAGATTAGATACCCTATTTGTTCAAGATGCATGGCTTTTTTCTTTAACTCTTCCAGGCACTTAATTTAGTATTATGATATAAGTAGAAAATAAGTTTGCTGGGTTTTCAGCATAATCAGCACAGATAACTGGGAATGTGGTGCTTGTTTGTTTATTTACTTACTTATTTTTGTTTTTTTGAGATGGTCTTGTTATGTAATATGGACTAGCCTGAACTGTGTAGTTCAGGCTGGTGATCCTCCTACTTCAGTCTCCCAAGTGCTGGGATTAGACACGTGCCACCATGCCTGGTGATAGTGTTCTTTTTTTGTCTTTTGGAGACAGGGTCTTGCTATGCAGTTCAGGCTAGCCTTGAGCTCACTTTGTAGCCCAGGGTGGCTTCGAACTCACAGCGATCCTCCTGCCTCAGTCTCCCCAATGCTGGGATTATAGGCACAGGCGTGCACCACCACACCCGGCTTGATAGTGTTCTTTTAGTAGAGCTATGGTTTAGGTAATTCACTTATATCTAGTGGAATCAAGTTTAAGTAAGTTTACATGAAAAAAGAGTAAAGTGCTTAGAATGAAAGAGTTGACATTCTAAGAATCACAGTATATACATTTTTATAAAAAGTAAAGGAGACTTATTTGTATATGACTAAGGTAAGTATGCACTGACATTCCCTTTAAAAGAGATTTTGTTGCCAACAATCTCTAGGAATCAGATTAATGAGTTTGTGAACAAAACCAGTAGTGACATGTTGAGCCAGATAATTCTTTGTGGAGTGCTGTCCTGTCTTGTGCATTGTGAGGTATGTTGCGTGTCCCTAGAGGCCGGTAGGCAGCCCCCCCCCCCCCCCCGTGGTGACAGCCAGACATTCCATCAGACACAGAACCTGTGTTGAGAACCAATGTCCCGCAGTGATAACATTAGTGAAAAGGAAATAAAACTTTAGTTGTAAAGTATTTATATTCACGTAGGTAGTGTTTAAAGCATTAATTGGTGAGTTATAGAAACATTGTATAATAATAGGTTTAGGAATAACTGAGTTATATTTTTGCAAATATGTATGTTTTCTGTATATTTGTTTGAGTGTTTTAAAAATATATGTCGTATATACCTTTTGTAGGTGGGGGATTGAGCCCAGGGCCTTTACACTGGTCTATACAAAGCCTTTTTAAAATTTTTTATTTTTATTTATTTATTTTATTTTATTTTTTGTCTTTTTCAAACAGGTTCTCGATATGCAGTTCAGACTGCCCTTGAGCTCACTTTGTAGCCCAGGCTGGTCTTGAACTCGCAACAATCCTCCTGCCTCAGCCTCCGGAGTGCTGGCATTATAGGTGTGCGCTCCACGACCAGCTATTTTTATTTTTTTAAAGCAGGAAAATTTATTGAAGAAAAGGAATTGGGAATAGGATTGGGGCAGTGGGAAATAGGAATAGCTCCTGAGAGACAGGAGGGGTCTGGAATGAGTTTCCTGTTGTATATATCTTAAAACCCAGTTGAAAGTGCTTGTTTACTGTTAGAAATTAGCTTTCACACCTTTTTGGAATATGGAACTGAAGTGTTATCTGTTGTGAACTGATTCTGTTTAGGAATGACAACTTGTATATGTTGTTACTTTCAGCTACTACTCCATGGTTTGAATCTTACAGAGAGACCTTTCTTCAGTCGATGCCGGCATCAGATCATGAATTTCTGAACCACTATTTAGCATGTATCCTTTACCTTTAAATTCAGTTAAAACCAAATACTGTATTATGGAATTTTTTAATCTCAGAAGTTAAATGAAGGCAGAAGTGTTGAAAGGCTATAGCTAATGGAGAAATATATTTTGTGGGGCTGGGGATTTAGCTCAGTGGCAAAGCGCCTGCCTGGCAAGCGCAAGGTCGTGAGTTCGGTTCCCGGTACTGGAGAAAAAACAAAAAAAAAAAAAAAAGAGAAATATATTTTGTGCTTGTAGTAAAAACCTATGAAATGAGATTTTTTTAGCTCAGAAAGTATCACTTTAAAATTTATCTTAATAGGTTATTTCTCACTGATTGATAAGTGATAGTTACCTTAGCAGAATGGTTTACAAGGTATGTTGGTAGCATCATCTAGTGAAGCTGAACCTATGGAACAGTTCTCAAAGTTGTCACAAGAACAGCATCGAATTCAGCACAACAATGATTATTCCTACCCCAAGTGGTTCATACCAAATACACTTAAATATTATGTGCTGCTGCATGATGTGAGTGCGGGAGATGAGCAGAGGTAAGATGTATTTTTTTTTACCTTCTGTTTTTTTCTAGTTAGTGTAACATTAATTTGGGTATGGTTTATTAAATTTTGGATTTAGGGGCTGGGGATATAGCTCTGCAGCACAAGCGCCTGCTTGGCAAGTGCAAGGTCCTGAGTTTGATTCCTGGTAACAAACAAACAAAAAAAGACCCTGTCTCAAAACGTAGGATTTATTTTTTATCTAAGAAAGTAAGAGTTGATTATGATTATAATGTGAACTTGGTACTAAAGCGCTTAGCTTTATCTTTTATTCTGGAGTTAAATTTCAGCAGTAATTTAATGTTAGGTTTCATATGCTAACCCAGCCTTCTTTCCAGTGTATGTGTCTTATACAGTCTGTCTTAGTTATTTTTCTTGTAGCCAAAATACCCAACAGTAAAAGTTCAAGGAGGAAAGATTTCAGTCTATAGCTGGCTCCAAGGCAGGGTGACATGGCAGAGGGACATTGCAGAGGACAAACAGTTCTGGGCGGTTAGAAGGCTGCAAAGCAACAAGCAGCACGATCACAGTAGCCCTTTCTGTTGCTTATGTCCAGACTAGGCAGCATGCCGTTAGGGCGGGTAGCACTCACACCCTAGGAGACCCTTTTCATCATCCACACCTAGAATTGTGCCAAAGCAGTCAGTGGACTGACTGAGTAATCACACTCTTGATCCCAGCATCGCACACTCTAGATCCAGCCACCTCTGAAAAAGCCCCACCTAAGACCGCATGAGGCCAGGGGGAGGGGCAGGGGATGCACATCTAGACACAAGCCATAGCACAGTCTTCATGCAAAAGTGCTGCCACTGTACACTTGTAGACCTTAGCTGTTATTTCTTCCTTTATAAAAATTATTTCTTTTTTTCTTTCCCAGTTTTCCTTCTTAACTTTTCATTGCCTGGCATTGTTTAGATGCACTTTTTCACTGTCTCTTGTCACTTAATATTTTTAGCCTTAGTGTTTGTCACAGTTCAAAAGGAAATTTCTTACGTTCCTTTTAGTATTTGTTATTAGTGACTTGGAGTAGTCTTTTGGGGATTCATGAGTGGTCTTCACAAGTAAGTTTTTGAAAAGTAGGAAATACTAAAAGCAACTTTATTTCTTATGTCTAATCCTTTCTTCCCTGGGTCCTGAACACAAATCATCACTTATTTCTTCATTTCTTGAACCCAGGGTCTCGTGCATGCTAACTAAGCACATGCCATACCACTGAACTACACCCCAGGTGCTTACCAGTATCTTTTTAATAAATTGTTGAAATCAAAGAAGTACTCTGAATACATCTTTAGGGTTTTTGAAACACCTGTAGCCTGTTGTTTAGTGTACTGAATAGATAGAAATAATTTGACTATTAAAATTAGTTTCTGTCAGTTGACTATAGTATATGTTTTGTATTTTGGGTGGTTGTAACATGGACATTTAAGTAGTGATTCAAGTATAAGATCAGTGGTTCTTGTGTTCATTAGTATCACGGGAAAGTGGGTAGGACTTTATTATACCTGAGTTTGTGTATGCACTTCTATCTGTATCTCTATATGAATTTTCTGTGATTTTTCTTTCTTACCACTAACAAGGAAATACAACTTTTACTAACCTACCTGTAGGGTGTAATATGATTAGTTGTTTGTTAGGCTTTTTATTTGTATAGTATCACATTTGCATTTGAATGTGCCTTCAGATTTTCCAGGCCTCTGCCCTCCAGGTAGCTGATTGACCGCCCCAAAAAACCATTTTAATGGGTAGCCTTAGGGACCAAAATTTCATTTTCTGTAGTTTGTATTGTTTACTTCTTAGACTGTCTTGTGGTTTGAATTATCTACCACCAACTAGCATACTTAGCGTTCTTTTTTCTTTTTCTTTTGTTTTTTTTTGAGACAGGGTCTTGCTATGTAGTCTAGGTTGGCCTCAAATTCTTGGTGATCCTGCAGCCTCAGTCTCCCAGGTGCTGGAATTACAGGTGTGCACCACCATGCCTGGCTGGTGTTTAGCTTCTTAAGGTTTAGAAATCAGAATGATTTTTGCTATAGTTGAGAAATAGCTCATAGATTCAGCTACTGTAACGTTTGCAAGAAAATCAGGGTGGGTTTTGTATAATAAATGCTTCTCCTTTTCTATGAACTATGTCCTGTTTAAGTCTTTTGGTAGTGCAATTTTCTATTTTAGTATTTTTATCAATAAATGTTGTCTGAGAATTTCCCAAAATTTCATTTGCTGAAGACTGGTTCTCACATTGGAGGTAAAGGGCTGATGATGTGTACCAGTGCTGGCGAACCTGTGCACAACGGGCTGCTTGTATCTCTGGAGGCACTAAAAGATTCGCCATCGCTGATGTATTCATTTAAAGCTGCTGTTTGGGAATTGACAGTGCAGTAGCACATGGAAGGCTCAGAAATGGTCTGTGCTGTAAAGAAACTTGTTTTCTGTACTTCCCCCCAAACTAGTGTGAGCACTAGAATTGTCTGTTTGAATAATGGGTCAGGAGTGTTTTGCGGTATTTTATTCCATGGAACACACTTTGGTAACTCTGCTTAAAGTGATACCCAGAATTTTATGATACTCATTTTAATTTTTTAACCTATTTTATCTTTGCCTTTTTTGGGTGTTAAGATCTGTTGTCTTAAGATCTGCTTTCGGGTTACTACAAGGTTTTCTCCATTTTTTAAATTTTAGAGCTGAATCAATTTATGAAGAAATGAAACAAAAATATGGAACTCAGGGTTGCTATTTACTTAAAATTAATTCTCGAACGTCAAATCGAGCATCAGATGAACAGATACCAGATCCTTGGAGTCAGTATCTCCAGAAAAATAGTATTCAAAACCAGGTATATGTAAAAAACAACAATGAAGCAAACCTCAAAAGTTGTATTCCAGTTTTTATGTCTTGGTTTAGTAGTACAGTTGCTAATATTTATTGTGCAGTCTGGCTGATTTTGATCTATCATCTGTGAGCTCTTAAATCAGTGTTTCAAAAGCTGTTCTTAACCAAATACAACTCTTTTCAGGTATATAATAGTGTTAAATTGCTCTTTTTCTTAAAATATGAAAATTACACAATTAAAATTGAGTTAGATTCACTTGTAGAGAGTTTTTAACGTGTCCATTTAATTCATGATGAATGCTTACAGTCAGTTCTTTATTATCCACATGCTCTGGCCGCCTTCCTACATTTTCAGCATACTGTTCTTATGGCCACCTTTGGAGCTCATGCTTTTTAGGTGGGTGGCCTTTTCCCCCATCTTCTTTTGTTTTCCTGTGTTCTTAATTTTTAGGAAGTGTTATTTGTTCCTTACTCCTTCCTTAATCTAGAGTTCTAGACTAAGGTTAAGCATTGTTCAGTTGGGTAGGTACAAAGTTTTGCATTTTACTAATCTTATGCCGCTTGTTGGTAATTAATTACCAAGTTCCTTTGCTAAGCTTGATAAGCTTGATAATCAAGAGTTGACTGTTTTTTATTTAGAAGAACAATTTAAGTAAATGGAAATACATAACTGAACTACTCTGTGTACTCTTTGTGTGATAATATTTTTTAAAAAAAAGTTATTATAGAAAAGATTTATAATTATCAATCTGATATAAATATGTTTAAATATTCACTATATTTTTCTGTCACATGGAATTTGTACTCTAGACAGTGCCAACCTAATTTGGATAGTGAAATGGTTGCTGACTTACTTTAAGATTATGTTAGGGAAAAATCTTTAGTCAAGAGAGAACTAATTGGGCCGGGGATATAGCTCAGTGGCACAAGTGCCTACCTGCCTGGCAAGTGGAAGGTCCTGAGTTTGATTCCCAGTACCAAAAAAAAGACCAGGATTATAAAAAGAAAGAACCAGTTGGAAAACACACACACACACACACACACACACACACACACACACACAAAACCAACAAAGAAAGAAAGAACCAGTTAGATATGAAGAAGCTTTTTTTTTTTTTTTAATGGTATTTCAGGGCCCTACTCAGAATAGGAACAGTCTTGAAAAATTCAGTTTATGGTTTAGCCATCTAAGATTGTAAAGGGGAATATAGATTAGCTTGTGCAGTGTTAAAACTTTTAATAGTAGACAAAGGTATCAGAGATTCTGTAATTTAGAATCTAAAAAACTCAGGGTTAGAACATAATTTGAAGTTTATCAAACCCAATCCCTGATTTAATAATTTCCTTTAAGCTTATGAACAGTGTCATCTACTGATGGTACTTGCTCTCTCCCTAAGTGATTGAGCCTTCTTTCGGGGCAGTACTGAGAATTGAACCCAGGGCGTCATGCATGGTAGACAAGTGCTCTATCACCGAACTTCATCTCCAACTCTTGTTTTAAACATTTTGTTTTGAGACAGAGTCTAAGTTGCCCAGCCTGGGCTCAAACTCGGGGACCCTCCTGCTTCACCCTTCTGAGTAGCTGTAATTAACTCTTTGTAATTACCGGACATCTTGAGAATCAACCCCAAGTTTTCTCTTTTCTTGTACACATTGGTTCTTTGTGGGGACCATGTTAGTTCGCTACTAAGACGACTGTCAAATATTGATGACTAATACTGATTCCTTTTTTATTTTTCCAAGCTAAATATACTGATTTCCTAAGTTTTTCTCAAGGGTGGTTTCAGATGATTTCCTTTCCTTTCTTTTAAGTTTATATAGTTTCTTTAAAATGTGACACTTAGAATAGTAGCTCATATTTACTGATCCTGTGGAGTAGTGTAGTTTAAGTTTTCTTTGTTAACTGAGAAACCAGTGATTTTGTATAAATAAACATTGTTATTAGATATTTTAAAAAAATACTTCACTAGATTCAGAATTCACCCCAACCTTCTGGCATTGTGTCCATGACCTGTGAGATTTTATACTCTTTCCTTTCTTTTCCTTATGCCTGACTCTGGTAGTTCACCACCTTGCCAGTATTCTTTAAGCCTAGTAGGCATATGTGTATGCCTGTATGGCTGTGTATATCCGTGTATGCCTATATGTGTGTATATGTATTACATACAGACAGGTGAACTAAGATAGAGATCATTTGGGTTTAGAAGAATTAGTGTAGTAGATGATTGTGAAAAGGAATTTAAGAATATAGGCAGTGTAATTTGGATAGATTCAGATACATGAAGGAAGTTAGGAATGTGGGAGGCTAGAAGAGCATCACTGTAGAAAGTGAATAAAGCCAGTAGTTAGTAGAGCAACCATAGTTGTTGACTGATTTGGTGATTAAATATAATTGCTAATGGTTTCTTATTTTATTTTGATAGGAATCATGTGAAGATGGCCCTTGTACTATAGCTTCAAATAAGAATTATGATAGTAACTTGCTTTCATTGGATGGATTAGATAACGAAGTCAAAGGTCTCGATACACTTTCTCTAAGTTCTCTTAATTAAAAATATATATTGTTCAATCATTTGTTTATGTATTTTTCCTTTTCCCTTCCCCCAGCCCCTCCCTTGCACCCATTCTTGGGGAGGGAAAGAAGGCTTGAAGATGGGAAGGGGATGGGATAAATTGAGATGTGTTAGGTACAAGTACAGATTTCCAATGGTGAATGTGATCAGTATGTATGATAAATATGTACTCATAAAAAGAATATAGTTAAAAAATAACAATATACATTGTTGTCAAAGCGTGCTAACCTTTTTTTTTTTGCTAACCTTGATAGATAAAAGATGAGAAAATTTTCATAACAAAAGTAATGAGAGCAGGTTAATTTAAGATCTTACTGAGTCCTTTAAGTTTGATTCATTTTGATATTTAAAATTTTGTAAGAGCAGTGTAACAGATTTATTTTTAAAAATATTTGTAGAACGCAAGGGAAGATGTTATGCACAGCATCATTTCCGACTTCACATGCTTTTGGAACTGTGTAAATTAGTTTTGGTAAGGATGTGCTGTAAATTTGTTGTAATTTCTTATGGCTTAGTTGTACTATTTAAAAGTAATTTTTAAGTTATCCTAAAACTATATTTTTCTTTATTTCCTGATTTGCCTGAGTTCTAAAATATCTGTTACATCTAACAAGTATTACCTGGAGCTCTTTAATTTTAGAGGGGAAAATGTTAATGTTACTATGTTTTAGACTTCTAAGATACATAGAGTTCCAACATTTTTGTTTTTTTCTATAATGGTACGGTTTTCTTTTGCATTCTGAGAGTAAAAGAAAGATCTGTTTTTCAGTAGATGGCTTACCAAATAACTTCAGAACTCATCCACTTCAACTGGACCAACCTGCTGAGTCTTCTAACAGCATTGATGGCCCAGATCGTGGAAAATCCTCTTCTTCATTACATGAAACAAAGAAAGCAAATAGTGGAATAATCCATGGTGCGTGTTTGACACTTACTGATCATGACAGAATCCGACAGTTTATACAGGAGTTTACATTTCGTGGCCTTTTGCCACATATAGAGAAAACAATTCGGCAATTAAATGATCAGGTAAGGCTTAACTTTTATATTGTTGTTTTTCAAATTTAAGTAAAGAGTAGAGTTAGGAATGTAGTAGTACAAGTTACTTAATGTATTTGAAGTTTTTGTTTTTAATGATAGACCAGTCTTAGGACTTACTGAAATTAATCTTTTCATTGTTGTTTTTTTGAGACATGGTCTTGCTGTGTAGTCCAGGCTGGCCTTGAATTCACAGTGTAGCCCAGGCTGGCATAGAACTCATGGCAGTCCTCCTGTCTCAGCCTCCTGAGTGTTGGGATTATAGGCATGTGCCGCTACACCTGAATGAAATTACTCTCAGTGATGAAATTCTGTTCAGTTTTAGGAGCTATTTACTCATTCTACTAAGACTTTACCAGCATATTAGTTTTTAAAATGAACTTCACTATTAAAACTTTATAGTTATTTGAATTTTTCTTTTGTATGTAAAATTGTTAATCCTTCACAGTTGTCATCATATTTAATCTTTTTTCTTAGCTAATATCAAGAAAAGGTTTGAGTCGATCTCTATTTTCTGCAACTAAAAAATGGTTTAGTGGCAGTAAAGTTCCAGAAAAGAGCATTAATGAATTAAAAAACACATCTGGGCTGCTGTGAGTAAAATATCATTTTTATTTTTCCTGTGTTTAACTCTGCATAGTATTTGACTCTTTCATGTTCAGCAAAAAAATAACTTTAGTTTCTTTGTGACGTGTTGGTCGAAACTCAAGTAGATAAGAACAGTGATTATAAGTAGATTTTGTTGCTATCAAAAACAATAACTAATTGGACATCAGAAATACAACCTTGTAAGACATCAGGGAGCTGGGCGTGGTGGCGCACGCCTGTAATCCCAGCACTCGGGAGGCTGAGGCAGGAGAATTGCTGTGAGTCCAAGGCCAGCCTGGGCTACATAATGAGTTCAAGGCCAGCCTGAACAACATGACGAGACCCTGCCTCAAAAAATAAAAAAAGGTACCAGGGAAAGGCACTTTATTTTGGGTCTGTTTCTCAGTTTGTAAGAAGATGGAGTTAGGTTAGATATGGATGAGAGTCTAAGACAGGGCATATGTTTAGCAAATTTTTAATGCAAAACCCTGCTTTTAGGGAAAATAAAATTAATCCTTTTGGACTTTTTTTGCTGGTTGTAAATATATGAGTCACCTGGAATTAGCCTTTTGCGTCATAATTTGACCATCAATAAAATGAAAATGGTTGCCTGTTGTTGAGATGTTTCCACAGTTATATTAAATAAAGTAACATATCATTCTGTTCCTTCGTTCGTTCTTTCTTTCTTCCTCTCTTTCTTTCTTTCTATTAATTGTCTTTTTTTTTAAAGTCAGGATCTTATTCTGTACTTCAGGCTGGCCTTAAACTCGCTTTGTAGCCCTAGCTGGCCTCAAACCTCCAGGAATCCTCATGCCTCAGCCTCCTGAGTGCTGGGAGTACAGGTGTGCACAACTGTGCCCAGCCTCTGTCAGATAGTTTTAAAAAGTGACAGTCTTTGGAGGTAGAATTCATATGAAACAGAATCACTTTTCCTCCTGGTCTGATGTTAACCCAGTTTATATTTAAGAGGGTTGGCGGTCGTAAATTATAAATTATTTTCTTTACTTATTGTATGTTTACAGGTATCCACCGGAAGCACCAGAGCTTCAGATCAGGAAAATGGCTGACTTGTGCTTTTTAGTGCAGCATTATGATTTGGCGTACAGTTGCTATCATACCGCAAAGAAGGACTTTCTTAACGATCAAGCAATGCTGTATGCAGCTGGTGCCTTGGTGGGTGTTTCTTTCTTTATTTATTGATTGACCCCTTTTCGTGCTCTGGGAATAAATCCCACTGCCTTGCCCAGGTGTAGGCAGGTGCTGTCCCACAGAGCTATCTCCCTGGCCTTTGGCTGCATTTTGAGAAAGTAGCAATGAACGCCTATCCTTGGGTGCATGCAGACTGCCTCTCCAGAGACACATACCTTTGTTGCTCGCCCATGTGGGAAGCTCCAGCAAATGGGAGATGCTCGTCCCCCCTCCAGATCTCCATGCTGGTGTTTGTTTCTTGAGGTGACCTCTGGCCATGCTAAGCTGCCTATTTAGACTGCATAGTCATCTTCCAAGGGGTCATTTCATGTCTTTGTGTATGCTTTGGGAACATATATGAATAGGCTGCAAGGGGACTGTCCAAACCCTGGTTTTCTCAGAGGTTTGTTATTTTTAGGTTTTATGAACTACAGTTACTTTTAGATAGGTACTTATCTTTTTTTTTTTTTTTTTTTTTGGTCTTTTTGAGACGGTCTCGCTCTGCAGTTGAGGCTGGCCTTGAGCTCACTTTGTAGCCCAGGCTGACCTCAAACTTGCAGCTATCCTCCTGCCTCAGCCTCCCAAATGCTGGGATTACAGGCGAGCCCCACCACGCCTGGCACTACATGTCATTTTATAGTAAATATGTCTTATTTTCCAGTGCTATTTTCTCATATATATAGCAGCTATCGTTACTTAAATGTATTTAAGGGTAATGGATAAAATTAGAAAAAAATGTATTGTCACACACTGTATAATAACGTTTTGGGTAACAATGGACCACACCTATCATGGTCTCATTGTAGTGCTTAAAAGTTTTATCACCTAATGATGTTATAACCATCTTGGCTTGTGTCAGTACATGCTGTGGTGTCTGCACAGCAACAGAATTGCCTTAAGATGAATTTTCAGAATGTGTCCTCATCATTCAGTGATGCATGACTGTTGTTATCTCTGTGTAATCAGTCATTGGTTTGTTCTCTGCTCATCACGACTTAGGGAAAAATAGGGAGGAGGTATAGCAGAAATCTGGTTTTTTTGGTACTGGGTATCGAACTCAGGACCTTGCGCTTGCCAGGGAGGTGCTGTGCCGCTGAGCTATATCCCCGGCCCAGCAGAAATCTTAACAGAGGCTCACTTGGTATTGTCTATATGCCGTAAACTAAAGTGTTTACTAGATTTTTTTGGAGATCTCATTTAAGTTTATTTATTTATTTTTTTGGTCTCTTTGAGACAAGGTCTCACTATGCAGTTCAGGCTGGCCTCATACTTGCAAGGATTCTTCTGCCTCAGTCTCCTGAGTGCTGGGATTATAGGTGTGTCCCACAATGCTTAGCTGGAGATCTCATTTAAATACTGAATCAAAGAATGAAATTTGAGTAGAGAATTTTAAGATAAAAGCAAATTTTTTTTCTTTTTTTGGTGTTTTTGAGACAGGGTCTCACTGTTGAGTTCAGGCTGGCCCTGAGTTCACTTTGTAGCCCAGGCTGATCTCAGACTCTCAGTGATCCTCCTGCCTCAGCTTTCTGAGTGCTGGGATTACAGGCATGCACTACCACGCCCAGACTGTTTTTTTTTTTTTTGAGTCTATATTAAGCTATGAAATTTATATGCATGTGTATAGTAAAATACCCCAACTAATGTCATTTCAGTTTTTAAGCTTTCTCATTGCTAAAGAATATTTCTGTCTTTGAGGTCATATGCATTATATCTTTTCTGTTAGGAAATGGCAGCAGTATCAGCTTTTCTTCAACCAGGAGCACCTAGGCCATACCCTGCACATTACATGGATACAGCAATTCAGACTTACAGGGATATCTGCAAGTAAGTGACTGTATTATTTGTACTTTGCCCATTTATAGGTAAATTTGATATTTGTCTTGCTGTTAGTTTTAAGTGGTTTTGTTTTCATGCCTTAGACTCTTAGGTCAATATAGTCACACAAGTTGAGGTGAAAAGTTAGTGTTTTTTTTTATACTCTCTTTATCTTTCCTATTTGGTTTGGGTTTGTGGATTATGAATATGTTTCATGTAATATTGTGGTTATGTTTTATATTAAGGATGATATATTTTGTGGTAACATTTCCTGACTTTACCTACTATCAAGCCATTTTGAATTTTCCTTGTTAATAAGACCAAACATGAAGGGTTAAATAAAGGGCCAGGAGGGGAAAAGAAACATGTTTTGTATGTACAGTGAGTACTGTTAGCACTTAAAACCTTTAAGGGGAGTATGAATGGGACCAGAAGTGGCCAGAGATTTCATGTGATTTTTCATGAGAACTCCTTCACAGAAAGGTGGTTGAGATTGGATAGCCTTGAAAACATTCTGGGATTATGACTTGCAGGAATGTTTTGGATGCGGCATTACTGGTGAAAGGGAGTGGAGCTCTGCCTAGTTCAGAGGGTCTGTGTCCATGGAAAGTATTGGGCAATATATTTGGAAAAGGTATTTGAGCTAAATCAGTGTAAAGAGCCTTGACTGTTGTGTATTATTATTATTATTCTTAAGCTATAATTATTTAGTAGGAAGTGAGACATTTCTAAAATTTGAGTAGAGCCTTGACATAAAAGTTGTTCTTTGGAAAGATTAATCTGAGTTTTTTCTCTTTTATGGTGTTGGGGATTGAACCCAAGACCTTGCATGTGCTAGCAAGGCGCTCTACCGTGGAGCTCCCTCTGAGACCCTTAGGCTTTCTCTGTCTCTCTCTGTCTCCCTGTGTTGCCCAGGCTGATCTTGAGCTTGTGGAAATGCACTCTGTGTGATGTCTGTGCAGCAGCAAAGTCGCCTTAAGATCAGTTTCTCAGGATGAATCTCCCTGGCAGCTGGGGCAGTAGGCCCCTTATATACTCAGCTGTAGAACTGATGCATTAGAAGATAAATTTTTAAAAATTGTTAATTAAGTTTATTGGTACCTTTGAGACATACATAATGATCACATTCATTATAAGGAATTTGTACCCATACATGGTATAACTTGATTCTCTTTGTTTTGAGACAGTGTGTAGCAGTGTGTTTACAGTGTAACAACATTCATAGTTTTTTTAAAAAATGAACAGTTATGTAGTTTTCTGCATTTCCCACTTTGACCAAGTAATTTACACACCCATTCAGTCTTCATAACAATCCTATGATGTGGTAGAGCTGTTATTCCTGTTTTACAGATAAGGACTCTGAAACTTAACTTCCCCAAAGAATCTAGGTAGTAAGTGGTAGAGCCACTATGGAATCCTACTTTGTATACTTTATAATCCAGGCAAGAACATATCTGTAGATTCTAGCAGGAGATATAGCCTCCTTTAAAGTGCAACCACTAAAAGAGAATAAAAAGAAGAGATTCAAAAGGTAGGAAACCAGTAAAGCACCAAGGAAGGCAGGCAGTAATAGAATTTCTCTTTTTTTTTTTTTTGGTCGTTTTGAGACAGGGTCTTGGTGTGCAGTTCAGGCTGTCCTTGAGCTCACCTTGTAGCCCAGGCTGGCCTTGAACTCAAAGATCCTCCTGCCTCAGCCTCCCGAGTGCAGGGATTACAGGTGTGCGCCACCACACCCTGCTGCAGGGAATTTAGTAATAGAATTTCAGCAAGTTTGAATGTTCTTTCTTTTTTTTTTTTTTTTTTTTTTTTTTTTTTTTTTTGGTTTTTCTCCGGTACCAGGAACCGAACTCACGACCTTGCGCTTGCCAGGCAGGCGCTTTTGCCGCTGAGCTAAATCCCCAGCCCCTGAATGTTCTTTCTCTGAATCTTCCTTCTTTCATCAAATTAAGAACTTGAGATGCATACCTAATGCTGTAAATGAAAAGGGATAATATTACCTAGTGACCCAGATAGCCAAAAGTGAGACAAAGAAGTTCACTACATTCTTATAAAGGGAACAGTCCAAGAAGAAGAGATAACAGTCACAAATATTTATGCAGCAAATATCAGTGCACCCAACTACATGAAGTACATATTAATGGACATAAAAAATCAAATACACACTAATACAATTGTATTGGGGGATCTCAGTACCCCACTGTCACAAACAGATCAATTAGACAAAAAATCAACAATGAAATATTAGAACTAAACCAAACTTTTGAACAAGTGGACTTAGTAGATGTCTGCAGAGTGTTCCCTCTACAACATCAGGATACCCTTCTTCTCTGCTAGATAAATCAGTACATATCAGTCATAACTGTCAGTGTTGCTGGGCGTGGTGCTGCATGCCTGTAATCCCAGCACTCTGGAGGCTGAGGCAGAAGAATTGCTGCGAGTTTGAGACCAGCCTGGGCTACAAAGTGAGCACAAGGCCAGCCTGAGCTGCATAGGAAGACCCTGCCTCAAAAAGACAAAACAAAACAAAACAATACAAAACAAAACAAAAAACCCCATCAATGTTAATGGACTCAATTCACCAATCAAAAGAAACAGACTGGCAGAAGGGATCAAGAAGCAAGATGCAACCATATGCTGCATACAAGATGCACATTTAATTCAAAAAGAAATTCATAGATAAAGTCAAACGATGGAAAACAGTACTTCATGTGACAGCAACCTGGAAAAAAGCTGGGGTAGCTGTTCTATTTGCAGACAAAGTAAATTTGAAGACCCACATAACCAGTGGGTAAACTGCAAATCATTTTTTCTCCTGTCCACAGTAGACTATATGCTTTCTGTGAATCTACATTTATTCTTATACATTGTTTATCGTACAATCTTCTTTTTTTTTTTTTTTTTTTTTGGTACCAGGAATCGAACTCAGGACCTTGCACTTGCCAGGCAGGTGCTTCTGCCACTGAGCTATATCCCTTGCCCTTGTATTACAATCTTCATTCCTATTTTATAATCATCAGTTATAATTGATGAGTTATCAGTTTAATAGATACATTTTGGAAAAGTTAAATATGCGGCAGCAATTATGCACACCAATTTGAAGAAGCTTCGTAATCTTATAAATATCAAATTTTTTTTGCAGCACTAGAAATTGAACCCAGGGCCTTGCACTGAGCTACATCCCCAGCCTTTATTTAATTTTAAAAAAATTTCATTTTCCCTTTTCTTAGAATGCCATGCTGTATTTTTAAGTTAATGAGATCCTGTTTGTCTTAAAAGGTTTTCTTAAATTTCTTTACTCTTTTAAACTTTTTCAGCATTGGAGATTGCCGAGTGTGTGCTATATCACTGAGCTATGGACCCAGCCCCAAATTTCTTTACTTTTATGATGCCATTCTTCCCCTTTTCTTTTCTTAAATCAAAGTAAAAGTTGTTCCATGTTCATTCTTATTTATATTAGTGCTTACTTTTAATACAGAGTTTATGTCCTGGAAATACTTGAATTGTAAACACTTCCCTGTGACTAACACAAATGGGTTTTTTTTGGTCTTTTTGAGACAGAGTCTTGCTATGCTGTTCAGGCTGGCCCTGAGCTCACTTTGTAGCCCAGGCTGATCTCGAACTCGGGGCAATCCTCCTGCCTCAGCCTCCCAAGTGCTGGGATTAGTAAAGTCCTGGGCTTGAAGCCTGTAACTTAGCAACTGATCACATGGAGAAATGTGTGATAATAAAATATAAATAAGTAATATAATAGTATTGGCTGGGCATGGTGGCACACACTTGTAACCCCAGCACTTGGGAGGCTGAGACAGGAGGATCACTATGAGTTTGAGATCAGCCTGGGCTACAAAGTGAGCTCAGGGCCAGCCTGAACTCAAGAGTGAGACCCTGTCTCAAAAAGACAAAAAAAATAAAAAAAAAAAAAAAAAAAAAAATTAAAATAAAATAATAGTCTTAAGACTGAAGAGTTTTGTGAAGTTTACTGAAGAAAAATATTTTAAGATTGAGTGTTAGTATAAAATACTGGCTAGCATGAGACCCTGAATTCAATTCCTGCTATAAAAAACAAACAAAAAACTACTATTAATGAGTAATGCTAGTAAACAGGAGTTAGACTTCTGTGTTCATTAAAACATTGGAATGCCAGGTGTGGTGGTGCACACCTGTAATCCCAGCACTCGGGAGGCTGAGGCAGGAAGATCAGAGGATCGTTGCAAGTTCGAAACCAGCCTGGGCTACAGAATGAGCTCGGGGCAGCCTGAACTGCATAGCGAGACCCTGTCTCAAAAAAACCAAAAAAAAAAAAAAAAAATAAAATAAAATAAAACATTGGGGGCTGGGGATTTAGCTCAGCGCCTGCCTGGCAAGTACGAGGTCGTGATTTTGATTCCCGGTACTGGAAAAAAACAAAAAACATTGGATATTCATAGATCCCTTGGATGGGATGGGGAGTGGAAGAACGGGGCATAAACAAGAATAAAGAGGTGATATGTATATATACAAAAATACGTTAATAAAAATTTTTAAAGTTTTTTTTGTGATTTTACTAACCCTGGATGAAAAGCCATGATTTGCAGATCACTACAGTAATTTTGAAGGTAATAAATTGACTGATATTGTTTACAGTGGCCTTCCATAGTGGATGAATTAGTCAGCTTCCTGTTACTGGGGCAAAATACCTGACATGCAACTTAGGGAGAGGGTTCTTTAGGGTCAGAGTTGTATGGTTTCACCCCGTGGTCAGCTGGCTCCGAAAACATGGTGGAGGGCACGGGGGAGGAAGGCTGCTCACCCCACGGCGGTCAGGAAACAGCACAGGGCAAGAGAGAGAAAGGGCTGAGGGCCAGGTCGAGGTCCCGATGTCACACCTTGTGTCTGCTGCCCCATGGAGCCCCAGTCCTAGCAGCCGTTCCAGCTGTGACCTCTCAGGGGCCCAGCCTGTGGGTGAAGTCAGCATCCTCGCAGTCTAGCCACACCTCCAGAGCCGCCTCCTTTGGCCAGGCAGACAGGCGAGACACTCCTGCAGCGAGTTCAGTAGTAAGCTTTGGTTGTTATTTTAAAGTCAAGTGATATTTGATGCAGGGTTAGGAAAAAAACACCTTCATTGCTGCCCCCCCCAAGGACCCCATCTTGTAGTTTCACACTAAGAAGGTTTTCATTATTTGTTCACTGAGTAATTCTAGGTTACTTAGTAGTTCACAAAGAAAAACCAACTGTGTGTCTTTATAAAAAAATTGATTGAGGAATCACTAAGGCAACACTGGTCCTCTGCCATCTTGGTGGGAACGTCTCAGTGGTCATACCAGAGTGAAATGCCTAAATATTTCCCAGTAGCCAGTAGAATGAAACACAAATAACCAGAGTTTGTAATGAGAAAGAGGAAAGAAATATGGGTGAAATTCTTGTATTCCTTTCACTGAAAGCAATTTTTATTTGTTTACCAGCTGCTAATTCAGAGGTACCAGTTGAGTTTTGGTTTTTTCTTACATACAGGAAATGTGACTTTGCATTTCATTCTTACTATAAAATTATATGATTATAGAAAGTTTATTTTTTGTTTTGTTTTTTTTTTCTGGTACCGGGAACCGAACTCACGACCTTGCGCTTGCCAGGCAGGTGCTTTGCCGCTGAGCTAAATCCCCAGCACCAATAGAAAGTTTTGATGGGTTATAAGAATTCTCTGAAGGTTTTTAGAAACTTTTTTGGTAGGTTGAAAATAAGAAGATTGACTTTTTACTCAAAATCTGTAATGGGATCTTGCTGAACACATGGTCACTGTGATCTGCCAGGGTAGCGTCATCATTCTGACTATTCTTTCTAATCTGTCTCCTTCAGGAATATGGTGTTGGCTGAAAGATGTGTATTGCTTAGTGCTGAGATTTTGAAAAGTCAAAGCAAATATTCAGAGGCTGCAGCTCTTCTGATACGGTTGACAAGTGAGGTAATGAAATTGTATAGTACTTAATAAGTGTTGTTCATTATTTTGTAAATGTGTCTTTTTCATAAGAAAAATTATGAGGAAAATCTTACTTTGGGATTTACAATGTAGCTATTTTAGTTTGAATTTGTATGTATAATTTTTCATAAGTTGAATTAATGTTATTTGTGTATTTTAATTTGAGTTTATCTTAAGTGTAATTTCTTTATAAATAGAATTTGTATATTTTAAGTCTATATTTCTGAAAAAGATTTCTAGTTATTTTTTAAAATTTGTTGAAAGACTTCTAGATTTATTTTTAGATTTACTTAGTTTTTTTTGTCTGTTTTATTTTTGAGACAGTCTCACTGTATAGTTCAGGCTGGCCTTGAACTTATTATGTAGCCTAGGCTGGTTCGAACTCATGGCAATCCTCCTGCCTTAACCTCCTGTGTGCCCCACTATGCCCAGCAAGTCTACATTTTATTAACCACAGACATGCACTGGGTATCTTCTAGGATTTAGGTTCTGTTCTGTGTATGAAATAGCTAAAATAATGTTCAAATATGTTATTCCTAATATAAAACTGGTGATTAAAAAGTTGTCACTGAGGAATTTTTAATCTCATTTTCAATCAGTGTGAACTTTGATGGAAAATTACCTTTTTTTTCTCTTTTTGAAACAGGGTCTCACTATTCAGTTCAGGCTGGTCTTGAACTCACTTTGTAGCCCAGACTGGCCTTGAACTCACAATAATCTATTGCCTCAGCCTCCTGAGTGCTGGGATTACAGGCGTGTTCTACCACACCTGGCTCTGGAAAATTGTTTTAAGCATTTAAAAAAATCTATTTTTAAATATTTCAAAAGGGAGAAAAAGTAATGCATTTATAATTACTGTTGAAGGTTTTATAATAGGCCTGTAAAGAGTGACAGTATTCCTTTTTGTAGGTATGATTAAGACACTAGCTTTTAGGTGAATACTTAAGAACAAAGAAACAAAGTTAAACACCTCTTTGCCCCTTACCTGTTAAATTGTCCGAGGGTTTTAATGCTTAAATCACTACCTTTGGTGCAGTCCAGGCTGCCCTCGAACTCACAGCGGTCCTCCTGCCTTAGCCTCCTGAGTGCAGGGATTACACGCGTGTGGCACCATGCCTAGCGGCTGCACTTGTTAGACACTTGGGTTGATCTTGTTCACAGTCCTGAGTTTCAGTGGCAAACTTGACCCCATTTGTGACTTCTCCTTGGGCTCTAAATTAGTATGGGCAGCTGTTTTTTAGACTTTCCTACTTGAATGTTTGCAAGGAATCTTAAATTAATATGTCAGTCAACTCCAAATTTCTTACTGACACGTGGGTTTTATGCTGTCACCAGCCAGCCAGCTCTGTTTGCTCACGCAGAAACTGCCTGAAATGCTTCTGTGTTTGTAGATTCTGTCAGCAATACCCTGGGGCACGGTTTTTTTTATCCTCTTAAACATATTTTCATTTATATCTCAAAGTAGTTTACTGACCTCTTCCACTACTGTCCTTTTTTTGTTTTCCTCTGTAGTGCAGACCTAGCCCACATCTTTATCTTTTTCCTGGGCTGCAGCCTTTTTTTCCTTGCTTCACCTAATTTTCTAGTCCTAGTATTAGTCTGTCCTTCAGATGGTCTTTCAGGTTCTCCTGTCTCTTTTCTGCTCTTATATAATGCTATAAAACCTGACTTGTCTTACTATATTATATTGGAAATTATGTTTAATCTATTAGTTCCTCAAGGGCAGGGAAATATGTTGCAACCTACACTTTCATTCCTTGTACCTATGGCCGGGCATATACCTCAGCGGCACAGCGCCTGCCTGGTATGCGCAAAGTCATGAGTTTGATTTCCGGTACCAAAAAAAAAAGCTTTCCTAGTACCTAACACAGGGCTTGGCCCATGATACATATTCTACCGATGTTTGTTGAACTGAGCCATGAATTCTTCTAAAAAGATTTCTGTAGGATATATTAGTTTCCAGGGTGGTATTTAAAATGCTTAGTAATGGATATTTCATGAACACTTAATTTGTAAGTATGAACAGGTGCCAGATGTAGACTATTTGATAGAGCTGAATATATGTTCTTCAGTGTGTTGCTGTTCCCTGTTACAGTAAGTAACCTGATGTTGGGTTTGGGTGTGTTCTGTGTTTTCCAATCTAGGCATATCAGTGAATGTAAAAACAATATATGATCCAGGAGCTTCAGTAAAATTTATTTTTTTTCTTGCTTAGATGCTTTTAATTGCCTTTTAACCCACATGTGAATAAAGTTTCTTTAGAGCAAATTTTGCTTATATTATGTGTACTATTTTCTGTCAGTTTTTCTCCTTTCCAACTGTTTTCACTTTTTTTTCCCTCAAATATGAGTGATTTATTGTGTCATGAAAGTCTAGAATATGTGTCATTGTCATTTTCTGCCTTAGGCAGCGGGTGGAGTGGTTGCTGGTGCGTTTCCCATGAATTACGATTCTTATTGGGCTGTTATTTTGTAGCTTTCATATATTTCTTCGTAATAATTTGAAAATAATGGTTGCTAGGCATAGTTTGTATATAAAATTACATTAAATCTTAAGTAAAAATTTATTTTATATACTTTTACTAGAAAGATTGTATAATACAGTATACTGGAAAAATGTATTCATTTTGAGAGTAGAAAAGATTATCTTGATATTGGTGAATTGTGTAATGAAAATCAGCTGTGAGGCTGGTGGAAAGAATTGGTGCTTTGCCTGTACTTTTTGGCACTGCAAACTTATTTACAAGTAGATTCTGCTATTTTATGCTCTGAGATTTAGAATGGCAGTGCAAAGCCAGCCCGCTGACGAAACCTGCCGCACCCACCATCACGCAGGCCAGTATATCCGAATCTGGTGCGTAAGACACCCCTGTGTGTCTGTGTGAACACTTCTGGTCTTATAACCCTTTTCGTCTTTTACTGTGGTTAAGTGTAATGAAGCAGTTTCTAGGGATAGAAATGAGTTTTTTGGTTTTTTTTTAGGTAATAAATTTCTTGAGTTGGGAGTAACTATAGTTGTGGGAAATTGATCAGCTAATAGCACCTTTCCTGTTCACAGTTATACAAAGAAAAAGTCTTAAAATCTTAGAACCATCTTTTTGAAAATTCTCTTAATTAGCTGCAGCTTGTACCTTTGTCAGCTGTGTTTCTGTGAAACACTCACTGAGGCTGATTGTCGTCTGTTCTGTGTTGTGTGTTGCTGTAACGGAACACTGTAGCCTAGGCAATTCATGAGCAGTGCAGGCTTATTTGGTTCATGGTTCTGAAGGCAGACGTCCAAGGTCATAGCACCAGCATCTAGTGAGGGGTTCGTTCTTCTTCATCTTGGGATGAGGGGTGGAAGAATAGGAGTGTGAAAGCAGGAGAGGGAGAGTGGGCCGAACTCACTGATAGCACATCTGCGCTCCAGAAAATCCACTCCAGTGCTGGTGATGTTAATCCATTCCCATGGACAGAGCCCTGAGGACCTGACTCTTTTTCACTCGGCTCCACACCCGAGCACTGTTGCATCAAGGATTAAGTTTCCAGCACGTCAAATTGGGAGGAAGCATTCAAGCCATATCAAAGCCTTCACTTCAGAGTGTTTCTTCCTATACATGTCCTCGTATTTTAAGTTACTGTAAACTTTGCATGTTTTATTAAAATTATCTCTTAACTATGGCAAAATTTTCTTAGGCTGGAGTTACTGCTTAAGTTGATATTGCAGATTTTTTTCTGAGTTCCTCATGTGGCATATATATATTGTAGTCTCACAGATACGGACTACCACTATATTAAATAAAATGTTATTCTCCAGTTATTCAGTCTCTGCTTTCAGGACAAAATCATCACATTGTAAAATCCTTTAATTTTTCTCTGCCAGCACTGATGATAGTTATTGTTTTCAGGGCAGTCTTCCTTTTTCAGAGCAATCCTTTTACCACTTTGGGTTATTAGGAGGATCTAATAAGATTAGAGTTGAAGTGAGATATGAAATTAGAATGTTCAGCTCTGCATACTGATTCTCAGTCAACAGTCTATTGTATATCAGAATTTTGCTCCAGCTAAATTAATTCATGATGTGAACTTCCAGACCTGTCTTTAATTGGCCAGTACTTGAGTATTGAATTAGAGAATACTAAGGGTTTATTGTGCTGTGCTGGTTCTCAGTGGATTGATTGTACTTTGAGATCATTTACAAACCGTGACAAATATCCAGGGAATATATATATACACATATACATACAATGTATGTGTATCTCTGGATGCATATGCTAAGAATAAATTTAAGAAATTTATAAGACTTAAATAAAAACAAACTATTGAGAGGCCTACATGAAACTGAAATGGTAAAAGTAGGGGATTACCAGTTGTAGATGCTGAGTATATAATGAGGCTACAGAAGCTAAACTGTTTAAAGTGACAAGTAAATGGAATAGAAAATTATGATTACCGTGCCATCTTAAAATCAGTGGAGCCAGGTGTGGTGGCACATATTTGTAGTCTCATTACTCAGGCTGAGGCAGGAGGATTGCCATGAGTTCAAGGCCAGCCTGGACTGCATAGCGAGACTGTCTCAAAAGAAAAAAAATTCTTAGGGGAAGCTAAGGCTCTTTAAATGGTATTTGACATCTAAAAACCTATTTGGTTTGAAATTCTATCTTATTTATTACATGATGATATACCACAGCTAAATTAAGCTGCACTTTAAAAAATGAAACCAGGGCCGGGTAAATAGCTCAGTGGCACAAGTGCCTGCCTGGCAAGCGCAAGGACCTGAGATAAATCTATATCAATATATATATCTTGAAGAATTTCTATGGGAGAGAGACAATATTAGGAGAACATTTTTTAAAGTCTGGGAATGATAATATCCTTTCTTAGTTTGATGCATTATCTTGAAGCCGTAAAAGCAGAAATTGTCTGACTACAATAGATTAAACTCTTTTGTGTCAAAATTGGGAAATATTTGCAAAATGTATGGCAAAGGACTGATACTGGCTAAGTATACAAGGGGCTCTTTCAACCCAGAAAATCACAAAAACCCATTCATAAAAGGGTATAAACTGGCATTTCACAGGAAAAATAACAGAGATCTCCTAAATATGTGAGAAGACATAGCAACTTTATTATTAAGGGGTACATGTTAAGGGACAAGATGCAATTTTTCGTTTGGTATGTGAAATTAGAAAGTTTTTTCACTGAGTAGAGTAGAAAACATGAACTCATTCTCTGTTGATGAGAATGTATTGATGCTAACTTTTAGCAGTTTTTTTTTTCTTTAGAAGTTTAGCTACCTTGATTAGAACTAGAACTGTAGGCATACCTCTCCACATTAAATCTGGTTGTACTTCCAGAAATTTGGCTAATAAAAAAGTTTGAGTAGTTACCTTTTTCTTTTCTTTTTTTTTTTGAGACAGGGTCTTGCTTTGTAATTTAGGCTGGCCTTGAACTCACTATGTGGCCCTGGCTGGCCTTGAACTAGTGGCAGTCATCTTGCCTGAGCCTCCTGAGAGCTGGGATTACAAGCATGCACCACCATACCTGGCCTTCAGATGTTTTTATAATGATACTTATTGAAGCATTTTTTGTGTAATAACAAAAAATGAAACAATATTTTATCAGTGGAGTGCTACATTAATAAGTTAGTACATTTACAGAATAGATTGAAAAGAAATGATAAATCTGTCTTTAAAATATGCCCATAGCCGAGTGTGGTGGTGCACGCCTGCAATCCCAGCACTCAGGAGGCTGAGGCAGGAGGATTGTTGCGAGTTTGAGGCCAGCCTGGTATACAAAGTGAGCTCAAGGCCAGCTTGAACTACATAGTGAGACCCTCTTTCTCTCAAAAAAAGATGCCTATGATATTAAGTGAAAAAAGCAAGATACACTGTATAATATCACTTATATGTAAAAGTATATGTGTATTTTTATGAAGCATTCATGCTAGGCATGTAAGCATACACACTTGGGAGCCGGGAGTGGACCATGTCACACTGTACTAGAAACAGTGGGTATAGCTCTGGCCGGGGAGGGGAAGCGTGGAGTGGGAAGGAAAGGTGCTCATTTTTAAAATAATTTTTAAAAACACAATTTAATGGTTTTTAAAAAGAAAACATTTTTCTAAAAAATCAAAAAGTAAGGTCCCAGGGGCCCCTAAATCATTCTGATACAAACTCTTGATCCAAAACTATGCATTAATTGTATATTTCTGGTTTTTCTGCTTACTGGATTTTGAATCTTAATTCTTAGTGAAATGATCTGATCATTCAGTTTTTGTCTTGAGGGAGTTGAAATAATAACAGCTACCAGTTATTTACTGAATGTATTCTAGGAGGGTGTAGTTTATGAACACTTTTTGATGTAACTATAATTTATTGAAATTATTGCACTTAAAGTCAATGTTTTCTGTTTTCAACTTTCCCTGGGGAAAATAATGGCAGCAGAACACATGGAAGGGCATGGTAAGTTCAGCTTGAGAATAGCTGAAAACCTAGAGAAAGTTTTGATGAAAATGTTGTTGATACTTAAATCAGCAACTTTCAGTACTTTCTCGAGTGATGACTTTTTGTCAAGTGATGACTTACTTGAAAGATTGTCCTCATGATGTGAATGTAGTATGTGGTTTTTGTAGATATTGTGTTGTAGGGGTCAGTTGATGTGGAAATTAATTTGAGTTGTACTGTGTACTAATGTGCAGTAGCAGGTGAGGAGATATCTTTGAAGGGGAAGCCTTCTGAACTTTTTAATAAAATCAGTAATTTTGGCTCTTTGAGCAAAAATTAAGTATTCCTTTAAATACAAACTACAGAGAATACAGTAGTACATTAGATTATTTTGTATTTTAGGAACATGCTATTGTGTTTTTACCCCCTTGGATGGATGGAAGTATGCTACTAGAAGTTCCAGACTTATTTCAGGAAGAAATTAGACTGTATATATCTGTTTTTTTCTGTTGCTCTGTGTTTTCTGGTGTATCTTTCATCAGTTTACCTGTATTACTTTCCCTGTTTAAATAGTTTTCTGTTGTTTGAGAAGGGATTGCAGTTCTTCAGAAATTTGTTACATGGTACCTATCATAAGCAGGCATTGACTTTTACGAAAAGCAAAGTATTTCATGGTAAAAATTTTAATATTTTGAATGTTTTAAAACAAAAAACAAAACAAAACAAAAAAACAAAATTTGTCCTTATTGGAAGACTCAAGATTAGTTTGTTCCTTTATATATTTATTGTAGTTTAAGTGTTAAATATAAATTATAGAAAGGAAATGCTTTTTAATATTCCTTTATATATTTATTGTAGATTGAACTAAGTATAAATTATAGAAAGGAAATGCTTTTTAACAGATTTTAACTTTTAATTTTGTGAAACTAACCATTTTTTCTTTTAAACGTTCAATAGGATTCTGATCTTCGAAGTGCACTTCTTTTGGAACAGGCTGCACATTGTTTTATAAACATGAAGAGTCCCATGGTTAGAAAGTATGCATTTCATATGATTTTGGCAGGACATCGCTTTAGTAAAGCAGGACAGGTAATTGTATTTTCTTTAAAGCAAAAACTTGTTATTCATGAATGTATTTTGTCATGTATATTTATCCTAAAAATTGAAGTAAATTTTGTTCTATGGTAATGGATTATATTGGTAAAGGCATGCAATTTTTATGTGGCAAATCTGGATTTAAGTCTTTGTTGTTGTTGTTGTTGTTGTTTTTTCCCCCAGTACCAGGAATCGAACTCACGACCTCACGCTTGCCAGGCAGGCGCTGTGCCCCTAAGCTAAATCCCCAGCCCCTGGGTTTAAGTCTTGATCTTTTCATAGCTTAAGCCTGGTCAGGTTGCTTTAGCTTCTTTGAACCTTGGTGTTTTTTTTTTTTTTTTGTCTTTTTCAGATAGGGTCTCGATATGCAGTTCAGGCTGGCCTTGAGCTCACTTTGTAGCCCAGGCTGGTCTTGAACTTGCAACAATCCTCCTGCCTCAGCCTCCCGAGCGTTGGGATTACAGGGGTGCGCCCCCATGCCTGGCTCTTTTTTTTTTTTTTTTTTTTTTTTTTAAGAGTAAAAGAAGGATAACATAATAATAGGGGGGGCTTGCCAAATTACAGACAAAGTGGTAGGAAATTATCAATGGTTATTGTTTCACATATTATCTACAAGATAGTTTCTCAGGAAAACAAATAGACAAATAATAGTGAGTTATAGACAAAAGAGGTAGGAGATTATCAGTAGTTGTTGTACTGTACTTCGGTATCTGCAAAGTGGCTTCTAAAGAAAACAAATAGAGCTATACATGAGTGACCTATTGAATAATCATTAACTTTTCTCGATGGTTGTTGTAGGGAACACATAATTATAGACATGCATCCATTTATGAAGTAGGATAGGAACAGTACAAACATTGCTGAGTTATGGATAGATTCATAGGAAAATATCAATGACTGCTGTAATACATGGTGGTATCTTCAAAGTGGTTTCTCAGGAAGACAGAGATACGCAAGAAGGATCTAACAAGTAGTTACAGCCGAAGGGTTGTCAAAAGTCAAGTGAGCTGTTTGGGGCAAAAGCCATTTTTGTAGCGTTTTCTCTCCAGCCTCCCATCACTTTGAGACCCTACAACCAGTTAGTGTCCTCTCCCCAACTGTCAGCACAGGCAGCAGGAATCCTGCTGCAGACTTCTCCGGAGCTCCACCACAGCCTGTACTGTCAGGAGAAGAGTGGCTTCCAGAGAATCTCTGCAGGTATTGTGCAAGGTCCTCCTGGTTTATAGCTTCCAAGCGGCTCTCATGACCCAGTCCACAGGACCTCTGACCCCTCGGGCTTAGTCTGCATTCTCGTGTTCTCCGAGTCCTTGTTCAGCAGCTGCTCCTCTGCTGACTCTGGACCTTTCTGGTTCTCAATGGCAGGAACAAGAGTGGCCCATTGTATAGCATGTATTCCCAGGGGTTTCTCCATGTTTGAATGATTCACACATGTCCGTGGGTGGGCATCTGCAGCTGGTGCATGGTGGGCCAGTTGTGTCATTGCTTCTCTGTGTCGTGGTAGTTCTCAGTTAATTGGCGGTGGCCAGCCTGAGGGCTGGAGCGCAACAGCACTTGCCACCGCGTGGCTCCCCCTGCACCAGGGGTCCTCCTTCCAGGTGCCTACGAGGCAAGAAGCGAGCCAATTGGAAGATTGGCACTCCCCGCCCATGGCTTCCTGTGCGCCGGAGGCCCTCCCTCTGGGTGCCTACGAGGCAGGAAGCGAGCCAGCTGGAAGACCATCGCTTCCCACCCGTGGCTCCCCATGTGCTGGAGGTCCTCCCTCTGGGCGCCTACGAGGCAGGAAGCGAGCCAGCCGGAAGACTGGCGCTCCCCTCCGCGTGGCTTCCCCTGCACTGGAGGCTATCCCTCTGGGCGCCTTCGAGGCATGAAGCGAGCCCCAGTGGTATTTTAAAATTTGAGACAAGATCTAAATTGTCTAGGCTGGGTTTGAGCTTGTGATCCTTCTGCCTCAGCTACCCAGTTCTGGGATTACTGTGTGCTACTGCGTTGGGAATAAGGCCCTGGGATTTTAAAAAGCTGCTTCTTCGCATCCTCGCACCTTGGAAGCTGGTAAAACTGTTAGGTTTTGACCATGCATCTAGCCAGGCATGGCGGTGTAGGCCTGTAATCCCAGCACTCAGGAGGCTGAGGTGGGATTACCATGAGTTTAAGGCCAGTCTGAGCTACATAGTGAGACCCTGTCTCAAAAAGAGGGGAGGCACTACTGTCTATGGTTTTCAAGGAGGCAACCTAAGAAACACCCTCCCTGCAGGCAGTGAACTATCTCGTCTCCTGCCGCAGGACTGCAAGACCCTCAGGTGACTGAGGGTCATCAGCAGAAGGTGGCCTCACTCACTAGGCTCCAGGTGGCTGGCAAGCATATGGCACCCTGCAATGGCTCTGTCCGTGTCAGGCTACTAATCATTCAGGCGTTCACAGGTCGGAACACTGAGCGTAGACATAGTCTCGATTCTCTCTGCCGCCTAGTGACGCAGATGTGACACAGCAGCCACACCTGCAATGCCTCGAGGCACGCCCGGCTTTGAACCTCAGATTTATTTATAAAATTTGTAATTTTACCCGTTTTTATGAAGTTAAACCAAATCATAAATGTGAAGGGCCAGACGCACTGTGCATTTAAGTAGTGCTGAGGTTTTCCTACTTGGTGTCTTGTCTTCTGTTGTCCCTAAAGGAGTGCTTTATCATGGTATTGATCATTAATGTATATTAATGTATATTAATGCCATTAATGTATATTAATGCAGTCGTTTCTTGTCTCAGGGAGCAGTTGAGTTGTAAGGATCATTGTTGATTTACATGGATTTCTGTAGCCGCAGTTGTTCCTATAAGCGTTAATTGGAGAAACTTTGCTGGATTCTGAGAGTAGGGGCGTTATTGAGGTAGTACAAAGACCAATGTGGGTTGAACAATCATCACATATTCCAGGGCCTGAGCATACACCCATAAAATCAGTATAGTGTTGCCTATTAAGAAGCTTTTGCTCTAGTAGAGGAGTATGAAGTTGAAAAAAATAGTTAATATGTTTTTATGAACATACTTAATATTTTTACAGGTAAACAAAACATGCCAGTGTTTTAAAATGCATGCTGTCTCAAAGGTACAAAGAAATAATGATGTTCAAAAATTCCTCTCAATTTCATGTTAAAATGCCCCGATTTTTAAAAGCCACCATTTTAAGTGTGGTTTACTGTCTTTCTTTTAAATTTAAAAATCTTAACGTGTTTATATAGATTGCCTTTTATAATAAATGATATACCCCACAGTTGGAATTTCTTAGCCTCTAAAGCGGAAAGAACATGATAAACTGTAATTAATTTTTCATAGTCCTTTCATAGTAAGCAACAGTGTATCTGAAACATTATCCCAGTGTTTATCTCTGCTTGAAAATTTTTCTACTTTAAAAGAGAAAAATTGTATTAAACAGTCAATTTCTTGTTTAAAAAGAAACATGTATGCCTTTTTAGGAATGACTTTTTGTCTCTTAGTGAAAATAAGTCCTTCTTTTCTACTTACATTTGTCCACTTTAGTGAATAGTTTCATTTAGGAGGAGTTGTGTCATTGGAACTGGAAATAGCTGCTTTATTTACCTTCTCAAATTGGATGGCTTATTGCTTCTAGGAAATGTTTACCAAGTTAAAATGATCCATTTCTGGTAGCTTGAGATTCTGGTAGGATTTGTTACCTAGCCTTAGTAGTATCAAGCTATAGTTACGCCATGGAGTCAATGATTCCAGGGCAGCTGTGTTTACTCTTTTATGAGCGCACAATACACATGAGACTCAGGAAGCTTTCGTCACAGACAGTACATGCAACGCGAGAGTGTCTGTCGGAAAACTGACTTTTGCTGTGTTAAAGTCAGTCAAGAACAGTCTTCTTGGAAGAGAGGGCACATAGAACACATACTTGTTTCTGCCATTAAAAATTAGAGATTTTCGTTTGATGTGAAAGGACATAACTGAAATCCCAGCACTCTGAGACGCTGAGGCTGGAAGATTGGAAGATGCAGCCCACTCTGGGCAATTTAACTACTCAACAAGACTCTGTTTCATAGATAGATAGGGCTGGGGGTTAGTTTGGAGCAAAGGCCCTGGCTTCAGTTCCCAGCAATGCAAACAAAACAAGACGAAAACCAAAAAATCTGGTATGTTGGTAGGGATGAGAGAAAGTGAGAGATGATGTAATGTTAACATTTCTCTTTGTCCTCTCTGAGAGTTCATGCTGATTGCCCAGAACTTTTTTATTGTTCAGATTTTTTCCATTGCAGATATCAGCAAGTTAGGGCTTTTCAAGAAGAGAACTGGCACTATAAAGGGGAGCATCAGTAAAAACCGTGTGAGGTCCATGCTGTGGAGGGTGTGTATGACTGTGTTCAGAGTAACTTGGACCATTTTTTCTTCTCTTTTTTTTTTTTTTGGCAGTACTGGGGATTGAACCCTGGGCCGTGTGCATACTAAACAAGCTCTGTATATCCCTACCCCTACGTTCTTTCTTTTAAAGACAAACTTTTATCTGGGTGTAGTAGCATAGCCTGTAATCATAGCACACTGGGAGACTGAGGTAGGGGGATCACAAGTTCAAGTCCAGCCTGGGCAATTTAGTAATTTATGTTTGTTTTTTTTTTTTTGGTTTTTCTCCGGTACCGGGAACCGAACTCACGACCTTGCGCTTGCCAGGCAGGCGCTTTGCTGCTGAGCTAAATCCCCAGCCCCTCTTTTTTTTTGTTTGTTTGTTTTTTTTTTGTTTTTGTTTTTCTCCCAATTTAGTAATTTAGTGAGATCTTGTCTCAAAAAATAGAGGGCTGGACATGCAGCGTAGTGTGAAGGCACTGAGTTCAATCCCTGGTATCAAAGGGCAAAGGGCAGGGGGCAAACTTTAAATCCTTGTTGTGATGCTTTTTTTTACCCCTTAATTCAGACTGTCCTTGAATTTATTATGTAGCCCAGGCTGGCTTCAAACTCACAGTGCTTCTCCTCTCTCAGCCTCCCAAGTGCTGTGCCACTGCGCCCAGCCCTTTTTACCACTTCTAAATCTCTTTAGATGCTTTTCCAAGAAAACTTCAAAAATCTGCCTGAACTCAGTTTTCTGTGTATCAATTTTTAAGAGTGCATGGGTTCCATTACTAAACGCTAAATAGAGATTAGGATTGTTTGTTCAGGAAACATTTAAAAATTACTTTGACATAATCTCAAAGTACCAGAACCATTGCAAGCTCAATTAAGAAAGTTTGTTTACCTGAACCGTTTGAGAGTTAAATTGTGCACCCGTTGCCCTGTTATCCCCCAATGCTTAGGGCTGATTTTCTGTACAGCATATGATAAGCAACAAAATCCAGAAGTTGGCACTGACGTGGTGCTCCTCTCTAATCCTCGACCCCTTCAGAGTAGCATTTATCCACAAATGTCCTCTGCTGTGGGACGTAGAATCCTTAGTCCTTTTTTTAACAGAGAATCTCTTGGTTTCATGACATCCAGACTTGAAGTTTATAGGCAAAGTGTTCTGTAGAAAATCCCTCAACTGAGTTTTTTTTTTATATTTTCCTCATGGTGATAGTCATTGAAATTGCACAGCTTTGTAGAATACTGCTAAAGAGGTAGTATGTTCTTGTTGACTGCTATTGAGTGGCAGACAATTTTGATTTGATTTCATTATTAATTAGTCAAGAAAATATTTCTTTAACAGCCCCCCCAAAGGCCCCACAAAGACATTTCTGACTATATATGATAAAATTTTTGTAACGTCCATTTTAAAGGGCAATAAGAGTATATACTACACAAAGATTGAGTTGAGAGAAGCCTTTTCTTGGTACCAAACCACTCCCCACCCTCACCCTCAGCTTATTCTTTCTTTTTCTCTTTAGTGGTTCTGGGAATCAGGGCTTTACATGTGTTAGGCAAGTGTTGCACCCCTGAGCTGTACCCCCAGCCTGTTTTATTTTTTACTTTGAGCCAGGGTCTCACCAAAGTAAGAGGCTGGTCTCGAACTTTTTTTCTTTTTTTTGTTTTTGGTCTTTTTGAGACAGGGTCTCACTATGCAGTTCAGGCTGATCTTGAGCTTACTTTGTAGCCCAGGCTGGTCTCGAACTCGCAACGATCCTCCTGCCTCAGCCTCCCGAGTGCTGGGATTACAGGCATGTGTCACCACGCCTGGCTGGTCTTGAATTTTTGATCCTTCTGCTTCAAAGTCTCAGTGTGCTGGGATTACAAGTGTGCGCCACTGTCCCTGGCTCCAACCCCCGCCCCCTGTGGTTATAGAAATTCAACATAGGGCCTTGGCACTGAGTTATATGCCAGTCCTCTTCTTAGTTTTAATTTTGAGGTAGTGGCTCATTAAGTTACTCAGGCTGGGCTCAAACTCATGATCTTTCTGCCTCAGCCTCATAGAGTTCTGGGATTATAGGCATGTGCAGCCACTCCTCTCCTTCCCCCCCCCCTTTTTTTTTTGGTACCAGGAATCAAACTTGGGACCTTGCACTTACCAGGCAGACGCTTGTACGGCTGAGCTATATCCCTGGCCCCCACCTCCTTTTTTTTAATGCAGTCTTGCTAAATTACCCAGACGTGACTTCAGTGTGCAGTTCTCTGCTCCAGCTCCTGGGAGCACAGGTGGGTGCCACCATATTCAGCTTCCAAATCCATTTTTAAGAGGGAGGTTGTCTGAGTTCAGAGAGTATCAGTGACAGTGAACACCAGCTGTCTGCTGTTTGCTGTAATAGGGTGCAGCCGTGGGCAGAAGAGAGTACCAAATTCTGTCACTATCAAATAAATGAAACAGTTTAAAATGTGTGCATGAGCTAGGCATGGTGGTGCACACCTGTAATCCTAGCACTGGGGAGACTGAGGCAGGAGGATCGCCATGAGTTTGAGGCCAGTCTGGGCTACATAGTGAGCTCAAGACCAGCCTGGACTACACAGACCCTGTCTCAAAAAGTAAAGTGTGTATGTACATATGTATTTGTGTGTCTGTGTCTGTAAGCACGTGTATATCCGTGATTATGTATAAATATATGTACATACACAATATATGTATGAATATATACACATAATATCATATACTCACACAAATTAGTTGTTTCCATTCAGCCCTGTGCTATAACAAAAAGGACAGCCATAACAAATTAGATTTCACAGAAAACCTCATTAAAAGTAATAAACAAAGTTCTAGTTTGTGATTATGTTACTGCTCTGGAAATTCCCAAATAGTTTTTCACTAGTTTTTTTTGGCTCACATCTTAGACTCTTTGTATTTAGACAAAGCAGCTGCTTGCTTCAGGACTTCTCAGTTTGTAGACAGTAATTATTCTGGTACTGCTTCTGAGTTTTGTTTTGTTTTTTCCCCCTCTCTGGTTAATTATGGCTTTCATATGAGGTTTTTTCTTTTTTTTGGTCTTTTTGAGACAGGGTCTCACTATGTAGTTCAGGCTGGCCTTGAGCTCACTTTGTAGCCCAGGGTGGTCTCAAACTCACGATGGTCCTCCTGCGTCAGCCTCCTGAGTGCTGGGATTATAAGCGTGCACCACCACACCCAGCTCATATGAGATTTTTGGTATAGAAAGTGAGAGTTCATTTCAGTCACTCTCTTTTTTTTGGGGGGGGTATCAGGAATTGAACTCAGGACCTTGTGCTTGCCAGGCAGGTGCTTGAACTGCTGATCTATGTCCCTGGCCCCTTCTCTTTTCTTTTTTTAAAATCACTTAATCCTTTATTACTGCATCTTCAAAGTAACCATTTTGCCATTAGTTAGGTAGTGATGGATACCTGATACCTGGTGAGGCTAGAGCCAGAGCTGGAAAAGCTGAGCCCATCAGCTGTGACTGACTGCGACCTGGGGCTTTTCCTTTGGAATTTTATTTTGATGTAAAATTATGGGACATTTTTGGCTGTTTCAGTGCTGTGACCCGTTCTGCTGCTTGTTTTCTTTGTGGTGACACTGGAGTAACGACTTCGGTGCTTTTGCTGTTGGTTTGCTTTTCTGTACTGTGTATGGTTAATATGAATTCATGCCCCTACCCTCCACTTAGCTGTCTCTTCTGTCAAGTGTGCTGTTGCTTGCAACACTGCAAGAATGTAGTGGTCTGTACCTTTGGAGCATTGTGCCATAAATGTTTCACCTTTACTGCAATACTCATAGGTTTTGGCATTCCACAAGTTTCCATTCTGAATCCGTTTCTTCTGTGTCATGTTGGTTTTAATCTTCTGCTGTTCTCAGTTCTGTGGTAGGTGCACTGAACAATGGAAAGTATACTCTGATCCTTGCAGAGGGCGCCTTGTGGAGGGAGCTGTGGTAGCCCCTGGGGTTGGGAGAGAGCCCTGCCAAGTATTGTGCAGGCTGCTCACTGTGCTGTTGTCTTAGCCATTCCTTTCTGTGAACGGCATGAGACATCCTCATGGTGGTCACAGCACTGGCCAGTGAGATATGGCTGGCAGGCAGGCAGGGGTAGCATGGGTGGGCAAATAGGTTAAATTTTTAATACAGGAACATAAGGTTGACATATCTCATGCAAATCTTGTCCTGACTGACTTCCCATTTTGTGGCCACATAAATTCCATGCATAGTTTTGGTAATAGACAAGAGAAAAAGGCTTGATAAAAGTATTTTATAATGTGGTAGGAAAAATTATATGAAAACAAAGTATGCTTCTAGGTATAGTTTAAGAACTTTTATTATAATTTAGTGAAACCTGCCAGTTTTAGATATTAAAAATTCCTCAGAAGTTGACCTTTTTAATATGTTCCTCAGAGAAAGAGTAAGTTTCATTACATACTGGTCTTCCTTTTTCTTCTTTCAGGATCCCTGCTATGTACCATAAACACACACACACACACACACACACACACACACACTCCCTCCCTACCTACCCCTATTGAAGAAGCTTAATCTGTAAGATACTCCATATTTGTGTAATTGCAGAGAGATTATCATGTTAGTATCATTTTTTTATCATTTCATTTTGTTAGCAGAAGAACCAGTTAGTACTTGTGTGTGTCGATATGTATGTATTTATTTTTTCTAATGCAAGACAAATTTGGACCTTAATACTTTGTTTCGTTTCCTTACAGAAAAAGCATGCTTTGCGCTGCTATTGTCAGGCCATGCAAGTTTACAAAGGCAAGGGCTGGTCTCTTGCAGAGGATCACATTAACTTCACCATTGGCCGCCAGTCCTACACACTGAGGCAGCTGGACAACGCCGTGTCTGCCTTTCGGCATATTCTAATCAATGAAAGTAAGCAGTCTGCTGCTCAACAAGGGGCCTTCCTCAGAGAGTATCTTTATGTTTATAAGGTAAAGACTTCTTTTCAGGAGTAGATGCTAAAACTCAGTTATTATTTTCAACATGAAAGCATACTTATTATTATATCCTAGGAGTTTAATAAAATGATTTTATTAGGTTATATATAATTATCAGTTATAATAAGATTGTGGAAGACTAGGTTGCTTAATCATAGATCTTTGTTTTATTTCCCCTTCCAGTTGTTTTTTTTTTTTTTTTTTTTTTTTAAGACAGGTTTTTGCTGTGCAGTTCAGGCTGGCCGTGAGCTCATTTTGTAGGCCAGGCTGGCCTTGAACTCACAATGATTCTCCTGCCTCAGCCTCCTGAATGCTGGGATTACAGGCGTGTACCACCACACCCAGCTCCAGTTTTTTAAAAGAGACTTTTAGTATATGAGTACACATTTAATTTGTGGCTTTTTAAAAAATGTGATATATCATACTTCAATGATTTTTTGTTTTTTGCATCCTGGACATTGAACCCAGACCTTGTGCATACCAGGCAGATATTCTTCCACTGAGCTACACTGCCAGCCCTTGCGGCTATTTTTGGAATCATAGAGGAAAAAAGAAATCCCTCAAGCTTTCTGGAGTGTTTCTTTGTGTTTTTATAGGATCACAACCAGTTTTGCAAAATGCCCTCACCATCTTCGGGAAACATACATTCCTTTCTTATAAAAGCTGAAAAAGTATGGATCTGGGGAAAATAGGTGGTCTTTTATGGTGTAATGTAGAAAAATGAGTAGGAAAAGAATACTTCACTGAGACAGGAAAATAGAAAATATAAGGCTTTTTTTTTTTTTTAAGGCATTGTTTTGTGGAAAAAAATAGGAAGTGGTAATTTTTTCTCCAGGGCCTGTGAATAGTGAATATTGTGTCTATCCTGCAGAAAATAAGTGCTCTTAGGCTTTATTAATTTGAACTCATATGGATGAGAATTTTGGCAAATAGGTTACTACAGTGAATTATAGCAAGTAAAATGCATACCAGAATAATATTTGGAAGTTTAACATCCAGAGAATAACAAGTTGAATAACCCTAGGAAGGTTCTTTTGAGGCAGGATGAATAATACCTAAAGTTCTTCTCAGTTGTAAGATGACTCCAGTATATTAAAGAAAACTAATAATTATGTAATATTCTTGCCTAATGCATTTTTAATACCTTAGCAAAATGTAATACCTTAGAAATTAGAATTTTCTTCAAAACTATTCCTTTTCTCGTTTGTATTTCTCCCAGAATGTAAGTCAGCTGTCGCCAGATGGCCCTTTCCCGCAGCTTCCTTTACCATACATTAACAGTTCAGCAACACGGGTTTTCTTCGGCCATGACAGAAGACCAGCAGATGGTTAGTAAAGCTTTATTGGGCCTCGTTACCTAATGATTACATTTTTTAAAGTTTTCTTTTTTTTTTTTCCAGTGATGTATCATTGAATGTTTGAAAGTAAATAACTATATCTCTTTACTATTGTTCTGCCATGTGAAGATAACCATTACTTCAGTATTTTTCCTTTCAGCCTGAGAACAAAAAAACAATAAAAACAAAACAATTCTGATAGCAAGAGTTTTTCTCACATAAGAGTGCTCATGTTGTTAGATAATTTTGGTAAGCATTTTTAATGTTTTGGAAGAGATTTCATTCAGTGCATATAAAGTATTTTACTTAATATCTTGTCATACAGCTAGATGGTTTCCGTCTTTTGATTATATAAAATAGTAGCATAAACATTTTTCTTGATGAAAGTTGTTTTTACAACTTCTTATGGAAATTTCGTATGTACACAGACGCAAAGAACAGTTACAGTACTTTTATTCCACTCTTGCAAGCCTTTAAAAAATTTTTTCCCCCTGAGGATTGAGCCCTGCCTGGAAAGGCACAGTGTACCAAAGATATAAATATTTTAAGTCTCTTAATGCTTGTAAAAGTAAATGCTGTGTTTCTAAATATTCAATATATTCAATGTGGCCTTCCTTGAAATCTAGTTTTATGTTATTAAAATACATCATTGTATAGCAGCATTCTTTATAATAGCACAAAATGAATTGATACATTCTGATGTAATCACACAAGGGATTTATGCTGTAGAAATGAGTGAACCAATTCTATCTGTTTTGGTATGGAAAATGAAACATAATATTGAGTGAAAAAAATACATCAGATTACAGTGTAAATTTCACAAGGTAGAAATCAATTGTATACATTGTAAAACAATTGTATACATTGTTTACATACTCATGTGGTAAAATACACATATAATGAGGCCTGGTGTTGCGGTGCGCGGCTGTAATCCCAGCACTTAGGCAGCAGAGGCAGGAGGATTGCCATGAGTTTGAGACCAGCCTGGGGTACATAATGAGTTCAAGGCCAACCTGAACTATTTAGCAAGACCCTGTCTCAAAAAAATGGGAACAAAAAAAATAGGACAGACATATTGTGAGAATGATAGACTTCAGCTTTAGAATAACGCTGGGAAGAGATGCCAGTGTGGGTAAGAGGGAGTAATCAGTTTGGAGAGGATTGCAGAGTGGATAGCAACTCTTTCTGTAATATTCATATTCAAAGTCATGTGATAGAGGTTGCCATTTGCTAAATTTCAGGATGCAAGTGTTATTCTTCATGCATTTTTATATTTGCAATATTTCATGCCTTTTTATATTTGAAATTTTTTTGGTACTGGAAATCAAACTCAGGACCTTGCACTTGCCACTGAGCTATATCCCTGGCCCTATAGTTGAAATATTTTTATATTTGAAATATTTCATGTAAAAATTATATGTGGAAGCTAGGGAAATACATTCTTTCAAAGTCAAGAGGAAAAGAGTATCAGTGTATATATATATATTTTTTTTTTCTTTTTTGAGTATCAGTATTATTAACAAGCAAAGTTCCAATTACAAAGAGGATTTCTTTTTTTTTCCTCAGAGAATTGGAAATAGGCAAGAATCAAAAGTGCATGTGAATATATTTGGATACCTCTGATTCTTAAAATACTATTTGATGCTATGTTCATAAATGGCTATTTAGTGTTGTGATACTTTCACTTACTTTTTGCTGTTTGTATGTGTGCCTTTTTTAAAGGTGAAAAGCAAGCAGCTACTCATGTAAGTCTTGATCAAGAATATGACTCTGAGTCTTCTCAGCAGTGGCGAGAGCTTGAGGAGCAAGTTGTGGCTGTGGTTAACAAAGGAGTTATCCCATCCGGTTTCCATCCCACACAGTACTGTTTGAATAGTTACTCAGATAACTCCAGATTTCCGCTTGCAGTTGTAGAAGGTGATATACTTTAAGTTTTTATTCATGGCTTTCTTGGGGTTGGCTTTACAGCAGATTCATGATACTGTACTGATTGCTATACATTACTGAAGGCTGAGATGGAAAGATAAACTAGGAACCCTTAATTGAACTGAGCTACATTTATAAAAACCAAGTAGTGGAGCCTGTAATGCAGGTATGTGCACTGTGCCTGGCAGTGTAGAAGAGGGAATGGCATTCTGTACAATGGGGAGATCTTTAGAAGAGGTGATTTAAAAGCTGAATCCTGAATAAATGGACCATTATGAGGTGGTGAAGGACAGATTAGGCAGAAATACAGAGCTACAAAGCTACGTGTGGTTAGTATTGAAATGTAGGGTGATGTGTGAGGTTTATTAAAGTTCATTGTGGGCCTTTCTTTTATAGAACCAATTACAGTGGAAGTGGCTTTTAGAAACCCTTTGAAGGTTCCACTTTTGTTGACTGACTTATCATTGCTTTGGAAGTTTCAACCTAAAAATGTCAATGGAAAGGATAATGAAGAAATTAGAGAACTAGTAAGTTATTAAAAGGTATTTGTAATAAGCACATTTCAGTAATAGCCTAACAGATACAGTAATGACATTTCTACTTCTGTTTAGTGAGATGTACTTCATTTTTTGCTTATTTTTCCTTAGTTTTAAGATTTATATGTGCTTAATTTTGAAAATTGAGAATAGAAAATCTTCCCAGTATCTAAAAATAGGCACTAACATTTTGTTTCATGTCTGGCATTTCCATTTGTATGTTTTCTCCTCATATTTGAGATTCCCATTTCATATATTGCTTTTTTCATTATATATTGTTTAATGTGCTCTCTGACAGTAGCCTGTCTTAATACTCTGTTTTTACATGATCCTTGTATGACTGACTCATAAGCTGTTCCGTCCCTGGTAGTCTTTTGGAGGTTTCCATTTGTTTAGTAGAACTATAATTCTACGTAATTTTTTTGTTTTTCTTTTATTTCATTTTTTACTTTTTGGGTTTTCTTTGTGATAGGGTTTTGCTGTATAGTCCATCCTGGCCTTGAACTCACTGTGTAGCCCAGGATGTAGTGAATTCAAGGCCAGGCTCAACTACCAAGGCAGACCCTATCTTTAAAAAAAAGCATAGGGTCTCTATCTTTAAATGTGCCTCTACTCTTAAATGTGGAAGAAATAAACTTTGCGTAGAACTTAACCACATAGTTAGAATCTAGTAGAAATGTTAATTTAGTGTTCTGTTTTTAAATATTGCATAAAAGCATGTAGAATGTGTATTTTTAAAAAATAATTTGTTTTAGGTTACAGGTGAACCTGAAATGATTGGAACTGAAGTTATTTCAGAATTCTTAATTAACAGTGAAGAATCTAAAGTGGTAATTGTCTCATCACTTTTCTATCTTAAACTTTTCTAAAATTAAACGGTAGAAAAAATGGCTTAATTTTTTCAGGTGCTTTGTGTTTCTTTTTTTTTTAAAGAGGTACAACTGGGAGATTAGAAAAATAGAATTACTCTGAAAAGTAGGTTAGTAGTAGCCTTTGATTTAATTTCTAAGAAGACTGTAAAAGCTTTTCACTTTTTGCTTGCTGTCACTGTGGTAATTTCGCATGACATTTAGTTGAATAGAATATTTTGATTTTTATTAAAAGTATTATTGTGGATCTAGGCCTATAATTGTTGAATTTAGAGACTGCAACATTACAAATTTTAGGTATTACACTATTAAAAATATTATTAAAGTATAATAAGTGATCTAAATATCTCCACAGGCGAGACTAAAGCTCTTTCCCCATCACATAGGGGAACTGCATATTCTGGGAGTTGTTTATAATCTTGGCACCATTCAGGGATCCCTGACCATGGATGGTATCGGTGCTCTTCCTGGATGTCACACAGGTAAAGCTGTAACATTGCTAAATAATTAGAAAATTAATTCGTATTCCATAGAATAAAATAAATGAAGTGAGGTATTTTCTAAATGTACCTTTAGATAAAGGCATCAAATTGTCTCCTTGGTGTAGGAACCTGAAAGACTAGGTAAAACTCAAAACGTACAATAGATGATAGGAAAGGGAATGAAATTGCTCAAAGGAAGGAACGACTGGGATGAGCGAAAGAAGAAAAAAGGAAGGCAGAATATAAATATATATATGAATAGCTGCAATAACTGTCTTGCTGATGTCTTATGATGTATTGAAATGAACAGTTAATGTCACAATTTTTATGTTCTGATCGATTTTGCATGCTTGTGTCTGTTGGTCTGAGCAACTGATCTGAAGGTAACAATATGCAACGGAATTACAAAGGTGAACTCCTACTATCTTGTCTAGTGAAACTCTGTATTATCTCTTATGTTTTATGGAATAATTATTTTCTTATTCTCTTTAATGGTTTGAGCAATCTTGCATTCTTACATCTGGTAATCTGAACAATGTATTTGAGGATAGCAATATGTAATGTTACAACCACTGTTGATTCGTATTATTTTGTCCTGAGATCCTGTATCACTTTGAATGTTCTTGCTTTGATTTGTTTATGTTAGTGATACTGATATGCTGCTACTGTTCTATTTTTTGTTTGTTTCTCTTTAAAAAAAATTAGATAAAGGCATTTAGGCAGCTGTAAATCTGAAAATAATTCAGATTATTTTATTTTATTTTATTATTTTTTTTTCAGATTATTTTAAACCTCCGCTGTAGCTTTAAAAATAAACAAATATATTCCCATTTGATGTATTTTCTTTTGATAATTGTTAGGCTCTGTTCTGTGATATTTCATCTGTTATACAAATTTAGTAAATTCTAACCATTTATTGAAATGCGTGCTCCAGTACAAAGAGCTCTTCAACATATTGGTTTTTTTTTAAACATTTATTTTTTATAAAACATGGAAAAAAATTAAAGACTACTGTTTTCCACATCATTGGTTGTTAAACACTTGAAAATAATCTGAATTATTTTCAGATTTACAGCTGCCTAAATGCTATCCTGAAAGTGGAGTTTTAGTAGTAAACTTTTATCTTGGGTACTCTATGCAATATGTTTTACAAATTATTTATTTATTTATTTATTTATTTTTGGTTTTTCTCCGGTACCGGGAACTGACCTCATGACCTTGCGCTTGCCAGGCAGGCGCTTTGCTGCTGAGCTAAATCCCCAGCCCCTTACAAATTATTTAAAGAGCAAAATTATATACACATTAAACACAATTTATTGTTTTCTTTAATTCGGGGAACACTTCAAGATCGAGTATTACCTTGCCATAGTATGTGTAGTTAATTGAGTTTGGGTAAACTTGGAGGAAGTTTGTTATAAAACCCTCTACTTCCAGTCCTTTGTGTAGCAGACATATCTTAGTTTATAACAAATTAAACTGACTAGTCATTATTAGATAAATTTAGCATTCACAAAAGCTGATTGTTAGTGTTGGGAGATCTTCTGGGACACTTGGAGAGCTTGATCTTTTTAACTCTTAAATATTTCTACCCCCTGCATATCTAAGATAATACAAAATTTTTAAAAAGAAATGGAATGAATCCATAAAAAATTTAAAATTATAAACCAAATATTTGTTCTGAAATTAAGTATGGTATTCTGCAGTTAGTACTGTGTGTGTTTCTTGTTTGACAAGGGCCAGAGAAGGTTCATTTATGCATAATCCTTCTAATTTATTGTGTTTCTAAAGCCAGGTAGGTGGGTGGTAAGAACTGTTTGAAGACAACAATATGCAATATAACAATGTTGAATTCCTCCCATCTTGTTTAGTGAAGCTCTGTATCATTGCTAATTTTTTAAATTATTTTTTTATTCTAATTGATCAATTTTGCATTCTTACATCTGGTAATCTGAGCAACTTTGTTGAAGATCACAATATTTAACAACCATTGTTAATTTCCTATCATATTTTGAAATTCTGTATCGTTTTCATTGTTTTTGTCTTTGTTGTTATTTTGTTAGTGTGTTTTCTCTCTAAAATAAGAAAAAACGGTTTGAAGCTCTTTTCTCACTTGTACATAATTAGTATCTTTTTTTTTTTTTTGGTTTTTCTCCGGTACCGGGAACCGAACTCACGACCTTGCGCTTGCCAGGCAGGCGCTTTGCCGCTGAGCTAAATCCCCAGCCCCCATAATTAGTATCTTAAGTATCAGAGTTATCTTTGTCAATAAAATACAGCAAATTGTTTTATTTGATGTTTCAAATATATGCATTAAGATCATAACTAATATGTTATTATATAACTTTGGTGGGAGGAGACCATGAATTAACTGTTAAAAGTAGTCCCATTTTATGAGTTTTTGTGTTTTAGTAATTGGGGTCTGTATCAAATGCAATGTGAGAAATGCTCCATTATATATCCAGTCTGAAACTGTCATGGTGACCCTCAGCACAGTACAAACTTTGAATAGTCCTGCAGAAAGATGGAGTTGTAGAACTAGCGTATTTTCACAAGTACATGTACTGTGTGGAAGCCTTTGAGAAAAATCTCATGTGAATATTCAATATGTTAAAGCTGTCTGTACTATCTTTAATTTTCTTTGTTTATTCTCTTGTAAAAATGTAGTTATATATGATTCAGAAATATTTCTAATTAGTATATATATTTAAATATGAGTAACAAAAAATTTGACATGTTCTATGTTTTTAAATTTCATTTATGTCTGTCTATCTTTCTGTCTCTTCTCATGGCCCATGTCAAATATTGGGTCCAAGACAGCTGTTCTCTCAGGTCCTTTGTTTATTTAGCATTATGGTTTATAAAATATAATTTGAAGGACTTTCTGCTCAGTGATATATGGTCTTCATACAACATAGGTAACACAAAACAAAAAAAGAAATTAAGTAGTGTACCGTAGGTGGTATCAATGTGGAATTAAAATATACTTAATTCTTTTATTATTCTTACTCTGTAATTGTGTAGAGTTTTTCTAACAATCATCTGAAACTTACAGTATTCATATATTGAAGTTAATATCAGTTAATGTACCAAATGATGTTAGGGCACTGATTTTTTATTATTTTATTTTTTTATTTCAGGGAAACATTCTTTGAGTATGTCAGTACGAGGGAGGCAGGATTTAGAAATTCAAGGTCCTCGACTTAACAACACAAAAGAAGAGAAAACGTCGATAACATATGGTCCAGATCGACGATTAGATCCTATAATCACCGAAGAGATGCCACTGTTAGAGGTATTTCACTTAAAATTTCATGGACTTAATAAAATGTATCTACATAGCCAGATGATATTTAAATTAATTAGAACTTATAGTTGTTGATATTACATTGAGCCATACTTTTAAATTATTGTTAAGCTAACATTAAATGGACCTAATTCATAAATGCAGGGTAGTCATGCAAATTAGCATGAAGTCATAGCCAGTTATAAAATGTAGGCCTCCGAATATTTTTTTTTTGTATTTCTTTTTTTTTATATATATGTATATTTATTTTAAAGAGTAAAAGAAGGATAACGTAATAATAGGGGGGGCTTACCAAATTACAGACAAAGTGGTAGGAAATTATCAATGGTTATTGTTTCACATATTGTTATCTACAAGATAGTTTCTCAGGAAAACAAATAGACAAATAATAGTGAGTTACAGACAAAAGAGGTAGGAGATTATCAGTGGTTGTTGTACTATACTTTGGTATCTTCAAAGTGGCTTCTGAAGAAAATAAATAGAGCTATACATGAGTGACCTATTGAATGATCATTAACTTTTCTCAATGGTTGTTGTAGGAAACGCATAATGATAGACATGCATCCATTTATGAAATAGGATAGGAACAGTGCAAACATTGCAGAGTTATGGATAGATTCGTAGGAAAATATCAATGGCTGCTGTAATACATGGTGGTATCTTCAAAGTGGTTTCTCAGGAAGACAGAGATATGCAAGAAGGATCTAACAAGTAGTTACAGCCGAAGGGTTGTCAAAAGTCAAATGAGCCATCTGGGGCAAAAGCCATTTTTTGTAGCGTTTTCTCTCCAGCCTCCCATCACATTGGGACCCCACAACCAGTTAGTGTCCTCTCCCCAACTGTCAGCACAGGCAGCAGGAATCCTGCTGCAGACTTCTCCGGAGCTCCACCACAGCCTGTACTGTTGGGAAGAATGGCTTCCAGAGAATCTCTGCAGGTATTGTGCAAGGTCCTCCTGGTTTACAGCTTCCAAGTGGCTCTCATGACCCCAGTCCACAGGACCTCTGACCCCTTGGGCTTAGTCTGCATTCTCATGTTCTCCGAGTCCTTGTTCAGCAGCTGCTCCTCTGCTGACTCTGGACCTTTCTGGTTCTCAATGGCAGGAGCAAGACTGACCCATTGCATGGCATATATTCCCAGAGATTTCTCCATGTTTGAATGATTCACACACGTCTGTGTGTGGGCATCTGCAGCTGGTGCATGGTGGTCCAATTGTGTCATTGTTTGTCTGTGTCATGGTTGTTTTCAATTGAGCAGTGGCGGCCTGCCTGAGGGCCATGAGGGCCGGTGCGCAACAGCGCTTGCCAGCACGTGGCTCCCCCTGTGCTGGGGGCCCTCCTTCCAGGTGCCTATGAGGCAGGGAGCGAGCCAGCCCGAAGACCGGCGCTCCCCGCCCGTGGCTCCCCATGCTCCTGGGCCCCTCCTTCTGGGTGCCTACGAGGCAGGGAGCCAGCCAGCTGGAAGACCAGTGCTCCCCGCCCATGGCTCCCCGTGTGCTGGAGACTCTCATTCCGGGTGCCTACAAGGCAGGGTGTGAGCCAGCCCCACCTTCAAAATATTACTGGAAATGGGGGAAACATTTCTAACAGAATACTTTGACTATTAAAATTTGTGGCTCTTTTTTATAATTTATAAAAATCATATGTGAATAAATCCTAGCACTCAGGAGCCTATTTGAGGCCAGCTTGGGCTACCTAGTGCATCCTGGCCAGCCTGAACTACATAGTGAGACCCACTCTCAGAAACAAAACTTTTAAGCACTGTAAAAGTTTATGAATAAAGTACAATATTCCCTCACCACCTTATTCCACTCTGCCCTACTTTTATACAGTATGGGTTTAAGTTCCAGTGCTGTGAAAGACATTAGGGATGTGGGCCTGGGGAAGTTGCTGAGGGGTCGAGCATTGTTCAGTGTGTGTGAATCCCTGGGTTCCATCCCCAGCACCATAAAAACAACAGCAGCAAACCTCAAATAAAAAAAGAAACCTCCAATAAAAAAAAGGAAGATGTTAAATAGTATAATGTGCAAAAGATAAAATGTTTTAGTTGAAGGACATTGGAATATCTTATGGAAACTAAAGTATTGCAGAACTGTAAATCTCAAGGAAGGAGAAGGACTCAGCTTCAGAGAATTGAGGACCAAACATTTCTAAGATTGTAAAAAGAATTGCTTTTGATATGATGCTAGTTAATTGGTTCAATAGCTTCCAGTCTTTTTTTTTCTTTTTTGTATTGCATTTTGATTTGAACTCAGGGCTTTCACAGCCACCTGCATTCCCAGCTATTTTTATTTTTTCATTTTGAGATAGGGTCTCACAAAGGTACTCAGGTTGGGCTTGAGCTTATGATCTTCCTGCCTTAGTCTCCCAGAGTGCTAGGATTACAGATGTGTGCCACCATGCCTCTCTAACTTGCAGTGTATATGCTACTTTAAACTTCGTTTCCGGTAGAGAAATGTGGCCCTTCTTGGATCTGATACCAGTTTGAGAGGCAGGCCAAATGCAAGATCATGTTGTAGAAGTGTATGGATATGAGTGTGTGGCGGCCCTTCTGTATCTTCAAGTTTCCCCACCAGGGCAATTATGAGCCTGGCAACCTGCTTCCAGTATGTGCCAGCAGTGTATGATCCCAAATTGGTGTTTATCTTCTCAAACCTTTGTGCACTTATGTAGCTTTAATAATTATATGTAGAATCATACCATATGTGAAAATGATGACGAATGGCGTGTGTGTGTTCAGAGGAGGATTTTGTTGAGCCATTTGGATTCTGCCCAAGTTTGATACCTGATTAACATGTTGCACTTAAAAAGATATCTTTTGGGTAAATAAAAAGCATGTGGCTGAGCATGGTGGTGCACGCCTGTAATCCCAGCACTCAGGAGGCTGAGGCAGGAGGATTATTGTGAGTTTGAGATTAGCCTAGGCTACAAAGTGAGGTCAAGGCCAGCCTGAATTGCATAGGGAGACCCTGTCTCAGAAAGACCAAAAAAAAAAAAAAAAAAAAAAATGTGGACTTCAGTGCTAGTTTCTGGTTGATAAATATTTCTTTTTTTTTTTTTTGCTCTTTTTGAGACAGGGTCTTGCTGTGCAGTTCAGGCTGGCCTTGAGCTCACAACTACATGTTTTAACTTTGATACATTATCTTTCATCATGTTAAGGTTAATATTTATGAAGTCATGTCTGATAATCTGTTACTTTGTCTTTTCTACATTTTGTAGTAATAACAGCCTTCCTTAGTCAAAACTTGTACATTTTATTTTATTTTTTTTGGTATTGGGAATCAACCTATAGCCTAACTTGTGATAAGTAGAGGTTGTAGTACTGAGCTACACCATGCCTCAGTTTTATTTTTTAATGTCTTTGTGTTTTAAATTGAAGGAATGCACTTTTCTGAGTGTCAAGAAGGTACAAGGCAGTGGTGACAAACCTATGGCACACATGTTACTTGTTTTTAAGACAAAAGATGTTAGTGTATGCGTTATTTTTCGTCTTTTTTTTTTGAAGATGGTCTCACTATATAGTCTCCAGGCTGGCCTCGAATTAGTGGCAATCCTCCTCCCTCGGCCTCCCAAGTAATGGGATTGCAGATGTGCACTACCACACCTGGCTATGCATTATTTTTCTAAACTAAACCCTCAGTGTTCAGGTGCAATTTTGGGTTGCAGTTTGGGCACTCATCTCTAAAAGGTTCGCCATCTCTGGCATGGGGAGGTCTGTCTGTTTCCAGCCCTCATCCTGTTAATATGGAATGGGCAACTCATTACGCATCTTTCTGTTTACTGGTGTCTTTTTTCTTTTTACTAATATCTTGAAAGTACCCAGATCTATTTGTTTTTATATTCTACTTAGCATGTTTGATAATATTTCATTTCTGTGTCAGTACCATATGTTTGGCTTTTTGTTTTTTTGTAAAGTTGGTAAGCACGTACCTCTTAGAGTGTTCAGCTGTTCTTTTTCATGGACTTTTGTCCAAGCTTTTCAAGTTCCCACAGTAATAATTTTAAGTAGTTAAGATTAAAATGCCTGAAGATGAAATGAATTAGTGTTCAAATTTAGTGCTAATCACTCTTACAGCTTAGAAATAGTTAACAAACATTTGTTGGGAAATATATATGAATTTGTGACAGCTTACTTCTAAAAGGGAATATCCTTATCACTGTGGTTGAAGTTATCAAAATAAATTAGTGGAGGATAGCGAAAAGAGGCATTTTAAAATAATTCTACTAGTTTATAATTTTCATTTAGTCACACCATTTAGTTGCTCTTCATTTGTTAAGATTGTGAAGTGTATAACTGGTGGTTAAATGTAGTGCTTCTCAGATAACATGGTGTTGTAGATAGAAGCTTACTTTTAGGTTATTTAATCCTCATCCCTAATTACCTGCCCTTAGAAATTTTTCTGCATATAGTACAGTGAAAGTGGAAGTAAATGTTGGTTGATTATATTTGTCTATTATTGTTGTTGATTATATTTGTCTTTTATTGTTGTTGTTGTTGTTAGACAGGGTCTCGCTATGCAGTTCAGACTGGCCTTGAGCTCATTTTGTAGCCCAGGCTGGTCTTGAACTTGCAGTGGTCCTCTTGCCTCAGCCTCCCGCATGCTGGGATTACAGGTGTGCGCAATCTCGCCCGGCTGGCTTTGATTTTAAAATACTGAACTCAAGAGCCTTTAAATTACATTCACCTTATTTGTATGTTACTTGTTCTGTATTTATCTTTGCTCCTTTCTTAATCATAGTTTTAAAAAATAATCATTGCTCCACATGCAGTTCTTTTTTAAGAGGATATTTTAGAGCAGAGGACCACTTATTCTACGTAATAACTGGTGTTTTGTTGATTGAACAAAAAAACTTGTAAAGTGCATAGAAAAATCAGTAGGTCCATACCCTAATTTTAGCTTAATTTTAATTTTAGTTTAATTTAAACATACGAATATACATTTATCCATTTATCTACCTTTTTTTTGATGGTATGGATTTAGGACTAGAGACCTTTTTTATGAGTGTTACAAAGATGAATTTTACAGTGTATTTCCTTTTACCTTTTCATGCATTAAATTGTATTCATAAGTTTTCACCATAACTTCTGCTTTTGGTTTCTTCAGAGTAAGAATCTAAAGACAGTTTTCAAATAGTGTAAATGCAATAACTATTTAGTTTTTAGTCTATAAATAGAGGCTTCCCGTTACTTTGGCCAGGTTTTACCCTCATGTTGAATTGCTAAAAGCGTGAGGTTGTTTGGAGCCATTTGGACTTGAAAATTATGGCTCTGGAACCACAGGTCTCTGTCTTCTCCTTATTTAAGACCCAGGGTTGTCTTTTCATCTTACTGATGTATATAAATAGTTGAGCTACTTTTTACATTGACAATGACAAGAATTATCAGACTGATTATTTAATTCACGTAGCCGTGTTAAATTACTTGTAACTTTTCTAGGTTATAACCTACAAAGTTGTGGAAGTTTTAACATGCTAACCTTCTTGTTGCTAGTATTTTACCTTTAATTCGTAACTCAGAATCTGAGTCGCAAAGGAACATTGATCTCTTTGTCTCATATTTTCTAAAATAGTTAATACTTTCTAAATAGTTAATACTTCTTGTGTCAAAGAAAAGTAATGAAATACTAATAAACCGTTAGTAAAGAAAGACATCTTAAAGTGTTGCTCATTAGTGGTTCAGAATTTTTAACAGACCATATAATAATGTTTTTTCCCTCCAATGCAGGTGTTCTTTATACATTTTCCTACAGGGCTCCTCTGTGGAGAAATCCGAAAAGCATATGTAGAGTTTGCCAATGTCAGCAGCTGTCCTCTTACTGGATTGAAGGTTGTTTCTAAACGTCCCGAGTTCTTTACCTTTGGTGGTAACACTGCTGCTCTAACACCACTGAGCCCCTCAGCCTCTGAAAACTGTAGTGCTTACAAGACCGTTGTGACAGACTCTGCCTCTGTGTGCACAGCGCTCACATCGTCAGCCTCTTCTGTAGACTTTGGCATTGGCATAGGAAGTCAGCCAGAGGTGATTCCTGTTCCCCTTCCTGACACCGTTCTTCTGCCGGGAGCGTCAGTGCAGCTACCGATGTGGTTACGTGGGCCTGATGAAGAAGGTGTCCATGAAATTAACTTTTTATTTTACTATGAAAGTGTGAAAAAGCAGCCTAAAATACGGTGAGTGTTATGAAACTTTCTAATTTAAGCTCTATGCTCAGTATTCATATGTATGTTTCAATAAATATTTTGATATTTGTAAATATACTGTGTTTATCAAGAAATTGCCTGTCCCAAATTATGAGCAATGTTTATGTCTAAACTTGTCCCACATAGGCACTAAAGGTGAAGTAGCCAAAAGTTGGAAAAATTTAATTGTGCTGAACTTTTTATTTGCTTCCATCTGTAAACTTCATGATTCTTTGATATGAAATTACTGTAGTAAAAGTTACTATAAATTTATTAATAAAATAGACTTCTATTTATATATGAACCAACTTGCCTACAATTATTCTTTATAAGAAAATCATTTTATTCTCTTCTTAGCTACCCCTACCCGCTCCATGTATATACAGTATCTTCAGAACAGATGGTTATTGTTACTAATGGATGGTCATTGAAGAAATCAAAACTGGGGCTGGGGATTTAGCTCAGCGGCAAAAGCACCTGCCTGGCAAGTGCAAGGTCGTGAGTTCGGTTCCCGGTACCAGAGAAAAAACCCCCAAAAAAAAAAAAAAAAAAAGAAATCAAAACTGACTGGCTCATCAGATTCGGGCCTGTATACTGCACAGCAAAATATTTTATTTGTGATAGTGCCATTGTTGTTTTTACAGAATTAACTAGACTTGTGCTGCATTTATTCAGTGGAATGTCTAAGTATCTTATAAAACTTACTGTGAGAACAAAAATGGGGTAATATTTTTAAGTATGGATACATTTTAGGACCTCAGTGTTAATTCTCCTTAAGGTAATAGGGAGTGCAGTAGCCAAGGTGGTCAGTGACGGCTTTGTGTTTAGTGGTTTAAGTGGTGCAGTAAACCTTCAAGGACAGTAAAGATTTCAGGATTTGGATATCAAGGCAGTGGAATTTAGATACTATATTTATTTTGTTCAAGAAAATATCTAGGGCTGGGCATGGTGGTGCATGCCTGTAATCCCAGCACTTGGGAGGCTGAGGCAGGAGGATTGTTGTGAGTTCAAGGCCAGCCTGGGCTACAAAGTGAGCTCAAGTTCAGCCTGAATTGCATAGCTAGACCCTGTCTCAAAAAGACAAAAAAAAAAAAGAAAATATCTAGGGCCGGGGATATGGCTCAGCGGCATAAGTGCTTGCCTGGCAAGCCTGAGGTCATGAGTTTGATTCCCGGTACCAAAAAAAAAATCTAAATATCTTATAAAACTTACTGTGTGGAGAAAAACGGAAGAGTACAGTAAGTATGGGTACATTCTAGGTCCTACTTAATTGCTCATTCTCCTTAAGATGGGGGAGGGGTTACTTTAGCTGCAGTAGTCAAGAAAAGCTTTGTGGAAGGGTTATGGAGTACATTCGTGGTAAAATGAGCTTACAAAGAAGGATGAAATGGAAACAGAGGTTTGTAATTGAGGGGAAGAGGCTTGAAGGGAGGGGAGGAGAGTGGGAGAAAAAGGAATCAAGATATCACAGACAGGTGCAGATTCCCTGTGGTGAATGTGATCACTATGTATATCTCAACTGTACCAATAAACTTAATAGGAAAAAAAAAGACAAAGATTTCAGGAGTTGAATGTCAAATGGGCAGGATTTGGGCATTCCCGGGGGAGTGTCTCTATGCATGAGTAAAGATTTGTAAGTTAGAGACTCTGAACTGAGTAGTCAGCAGAGTGTAAACTTCATGTGAAACAATTAAAGGGGGGTAAACCTTTGAAATGTACAGTGGTGTGGTGGAGATCTTCGCATGCCAAGGTGAAGTTTGGATGGCTGCGGTCTCATTCAGTAAGTTCAGAGCCACTGTGTCTCGGGCTCTTTCTCTTCACTGGAGCACAGCTGGCTGCACTCAATTTAAAGCCGCAGAGGTTTATTTCTGCTCTGGTTTCAGAGATCTCAGCCTGTGTTCTAGAGGCTTCTGCATAGAGGCAATGTGACAGAGGGTCTGAGCGGAGGAAAGCTGCTCACCTCATGGTGTGCAGGATGCAGAGCACAGAGCCGGGAGGGAGATAAACCCTTCCCAACCCTGCGCCAGTCTCCCCTCCTACCAGCCCTGCCTCCCTACCGGAAGCCGGTTACTGCCCTGTAGTTGAGTCACTGTCCCAGAAGTGAGGCTTGGGGTCATAGCACACTGATCAGGGGATTACAGTGCATTGGGTGGGGATTATTTCCAGGTATTACGCAGACGAGTTTGATGAGCAGGGGAAAGCCTAGAGCAAGGACAGTAATAATTTTCCTCCAAATTGAGAAGAAAGAATTGAACCAAAGTTAGGTGAACAGCGTAATTTTTATTGTATTCTTCATTTTTCTAGATTATAAATGTTCCTGAGAGTCACTCATTCCTAAAATCTTGAGTTGGACTTACACAATTATAATGTAGGGAGAGGCTCTTAAAATTATTTTTTTTTTTAACTTCCTCAGACATAGAATATTAAGACATACTGCAGTCATTTGTACTAGCCGGTCTTTGAATGTAAAAGCCACTGTCTGCAGAAGTAATGCACTTGAAGATGAGGACGGCAAAGGAGACAATATGCTAGTCTTTGTGGATGTGGAAAATACCAATACTGTAAGTTGGCCTAAAGCCGAATTATATTTTTAATCATATTTAAAATATTTGCATTATTTTTAGTAATAGGTTTTTTTCACTCACAAGACAGCTTAAACTATGAATTTAGGAGTATTCATATAAAAGTATGTAAACATATCCATAACTTAATGCCTCAGTCTTCAAATAAAGGATCTGCTAATATTTATTTATTTATTTTTTTGTTTTTTTTGAGACAGGGTCTTGCTATGCAGTTCAGGCTGGCTTTGAGCTCACTTTGTAACCTAGGCTGCCTGAAACTCACAAGGATCCTCCTACCTCAACCTCCTGAGTGCTGGGATTACAAGCGTGTGCCACCATGCCTGGCAGGATCTGCTGATATTAATACACGTTTATACAGTGTAGCTCCAGGTGCCAGTAACGCAGTCTAAAAGAGATCTCATAAAGTACTTTCCAGTTGCAGCATGGTGGTGCACACCTGTAATCCCAGCACTCAGGAGGCTGAGGCAGGAAGATCATTGCGAGTTGGAGACCAGCCTGGGCTATAGAATGAGCTTAAGGCCAGCCTGAACTGCATAGTGAGACCTTGTCTCAGAAAGACCGACCAAACAAACAACTCACAGCGATCCTCCTGCCTCAGCCTTCCAAGTGCTGAGATGATAGGTGTGCACCACCACACCTGGCTGTAAGGTCACTTTTTAAAGGATGTTTAGGGTTATATTACTGATACGTTGGTGATTTTCGAAAAATTAATATGCTTATTACTTCAGTAAGAAAATTTTAATAATTTGAGGTGTTAAAGAATAACAGTTACGTACAATTTAAGTATATGTGCATTGACTGTATTCAGGTGGTTTCTTGAGTTTTTGTTTCTTACATTTTTTGTTTCTTACATCTAAATGAGATGTCTTAGATCAGAAAAATAAAAGAAAATGCCATAGTTTGAGAAATTGGTAGCAAATAATTTTTTTTTTTTTGGTCTTTTTTTGAGATAGGGTCTCACTATGCAGTTCAGGCTGGCTGTGAGCTCACTTTGTAAAGCCCAGGCTAACCTCGAATGATCCTCCTGCCTCAGCCTCCCAAGTGCTGGGATTACAGGCATGCACCACCATGCCCAGTTGCAAATAATTTTTGATCCAGTAAATATTACCAATAACCTATTATGATAGATTCTAATTACTGAAAAACTTGGTTTTTTAATATTTACTACAGGGTGTACGTTAGGTAAGCAATTTTCTTGGGTAGAGTGTTGACTGACCTTTTTCTCTTACTTGTTAAGAGGGGTTTAAATAACTTTCCGAAATGTATATTGTTACTTCATTTCAAAATAGAAATTTCATGTGATGTTAATTGATAGTGACTTTGATAGCATCTGAATTTTGTTTTCATTGTAATATTTAATTTACATCCTTAATGACTCTTCTTTTTGATAGAGCGAAGCAGGTGTTAAGGAGTTCCACATAGTGCAAGTATCAAGTAGCAGCAAGAACTGGAAGTTGCAGAAATCAGTAAATCTCTCTGAAAACAAAGGTTTGTACCTTTTCCTTTCATAGTAAATTCCGACATCTTCATTGCTTGATTTTTCTGAATACCAGCATATCATAAGATTATTGGTGCCTTCTTTAAAATTCACTTTTTTTTACAGTTTTTTGCATGAAGATATTGCTCTGTAATTCGGGCTGCTCTTGAACTGACTATGTAGCCCAGACTGGCCTCAAACTTGCACTGATTCTCCTGCTTCAGCCTCCCAAGTGCTAGGATTATAGGTGTGCACCATCACTTTGGGCTCAGAATTAACGTTTTTAAGCATTAAATTATGCTTTCCTTTGTTTGCATGACAGTAAATCAAATTATTGTACCTATTTTGATTTAATCTTTTTCATCTAACTATTCCTTCCACATATTTTCTACTTGCTTTTTCTTCCTTTTATTTGCAAAACCCATACCTGAGAAGACGATCACTGTCAAATACTGAAGTGGTGTAAATCCATAGACTAGACTATGGAGGTTCCTGTCTGCTTCCTTCACCAGTGTAAGCTGGTTCTTCTGTGTACAGCCAAAACGATGTTCTGGCTGACTTTCTTTGAATATTTTTATTCTTATATAACATTCAGAAAAATGATGTGCATACTTGTCATATATATGGCATATTGACAAATGGTTTTCAGAATCATTTTATCAGTGTGTCATCCTGCCAGTATTGTTAGCATGCCTGGTGGTTGTAAGGTTGATGGGAAGCTGGCAAAATGATAATTTGCTGCTGGACAAGAATTGTACAGTGTGTTTCAAAAGAGATGTAAATGCTTAAACCCTTAATCTCACATTAATTTGTATTTTTGGAATTTATACAAAAGAATTCAAAATATGGGGGAAATCCTTATATTCAGAGACATTTATTGCATGATTATGTTCATTGTGGAAAAATTTAGTTTCATTGTCATTAAGATATACTCACATTAGCATTCTAGAAGTGTCGGCAGCAGTGGGAAAACACACCCATTGCACAGTACGTACATGTAATTGGTAGAGATCATACGTATGGAAAAACACTGGAGGATAAAAAGAAGTGATGAGTAACGGGATCATAGGCTCCTTGACCCCCAGCTTCTGGTCTTTCAAACTTCCCTAATGTTAAGTAGACACACACACAGGAATGCATGCCACATGTATTTTGAGAAAATTTGGATTTTATTCTTACGAGGTTAATGAAAATTCATTTCATTGAAAAGAAAGCAAAGATATTTTTCATTAAATATTATTTATAATTACAAATTTTTTCCAGCTTATGGAAGTCTGAATAATGACTTAGATTTTACTACATCCTAAAGTTAGAAGCATTTTTGTTTTTTCCCTTTTCCTAGATGCCAAACTTGCCAGTAGGGAAAAAGGAAAGTTTTGCTTCAAGGCAATAAGATGTAATGAAAGAGAAGGTAAATTCATTTCACTTTTGCACTTCCTTCAGTGTTCACTTCATATTTTTCTGGCAGTGAAATACCTAGTTTGTTTCCCTGTTCTTTAGGTGCCACACGGTCTTCAGAAAAGTACACCTTTGCAGATATCATCTTTGGAAATGAACAGGTATGCCAATAGCTGCAATAGTGTTTGGTTTTAAAGTCATAGTTCTGGAATATCTGGTATTTTGGCAAAACTGTTGCTTCAGAATCCCTGAATCTGGAGAATGTACATTTCTCAACTTTGCTGAATCTTGTAACCTGCCTTCAGTTCCTAAAACAAATTGAATATGCTATATGGAGAATGCTGTTTTAATTAGTTATTTAAAATTAACTTTCCTTTGAAAAGATCACTTGAAATAAGTATAGTCCTTAGTTGTTTTGTTTTTTGTTTTAAGTAGGATTAAGCTGGGCATAGTGGTGAAAGTTGTAATGTTAGCTATTTAGAAGGCTGCGGTAGGAGGGTTACAAATTTGGGGCCAGAGTGGGTGTCTTAGAGCGACCTCATCTCAGAAGAGGAGGGGAAACGGGAGGGGAAGAGGAGGAGGGGATGGAGAGAACGCCGCTGTTAGGAAAAGTGGTCGCAGTGGACTAGATGCATGTTCAGCCCCAGGGTTTTGGCATATCATCTGGTGCTGAGACCCGTATAATCTAAATACGTAAGGTTCTGTTGTGATTTTAAAAATATAATTGTCTAGGATAGTGATAGTCCATCTTAAATTATGTGTGTCACCTAGGACAGTGGTTTTCAGACTTTAAAAATATGCACTGAGAATCTTGTTAAAATGCAAATTATAATATAATATGATTGGAGTGAAACTTGGGATTTTAAACTATTAAAGCCCCTAGACGATGATGAGTTCGTTTGTCTACAAACCTAGTTTTAAGTATCAGAGACCTAGAGGACTTTGTAAACAGACTATAGGCTTTGCTTCCCCCTGGCCCGACTCAAACAGGTTCACTGTGTGCTGGGCAGGGTTTGGGGTTATGCATTTTTAAGGAGCCGTGCAGATAATCTGAAGCGGTTGTCTGGGGACCTGGTTGGCAGAATACTGGACCTGCAGTACTATGTAAGAGTATGCTGTTAGTGGGATGATTTATTTGTGCTCTTATTCCCGATATTTACCTTTGCTATTTTGTATTATCTTACCATTGGCTTTCATCTGACTCAACGTTTGTGACAGTCTTTGACCACCTAAAAATGGAGCTATTTAGAAATTCCTCAAGGCTACAAAAGCCCAGTAATTCCAAAACATGTACTTTTGGAGATACTGTGCTCTGGAAGGTTAAATACAGCTTTCTGGTCTTCAGTTGTTTTGTTCATTTCTTTTGAAAAATTTAAAATCCCTAGAATTATTAGTAGGACCCTTATTACGTTAGGATTATAACATTTATTGTATTTGTTGTTAAGTAATTTTATGTAAAAGTATTGAAGAGGGTAGAAGGAAAGTTATTTTTTCCTTTGGTGAATCTGGTTGAATAAATGAAATGTATCGAGAACTACAGATGAAGGAGAAAATTTTGAGGCAGCGTTTTACCAGTTGAAGTTTACTCATAAAGGGGCAAATATGTATATTTATTAATATTTAATATATTGAAAAGTCTTTAAGCTTAACATCCACATGAATATACATAGCCTGAAATTCATTAAATAATGAGCATAGAGCTTTAACTGCCAAGGAAGTATTCCAGTCATTAAGGAAAGTTCTATAGGTCTGAGTCAGTTAAACTTATTATGTGCTCTCTCTTCAAGTAAAAAAGCCAAGTTAAGGCCACTAACTATCTCCATTCTATTTCTTTTTTTTTTTTTTTTTTATTTTTTTTTCTCCGAGAATTTGGAGGAAATGAACTAAAAAGAAATGAAGCAGAAAACATCTCAGTTTTTGGTTTTTCTCCGGTACTAGGAACCGAAGTCACGACCTTGCGCTTGCCAGGCAGGCGCTTTTGCTGCTGAGCTAAATCCCCAGCCCCCTCTCCATTCTATTTGATTGGATATTGCCTGCTGCTCTTAAGTATCTGAATAATAAACACTTTTGTTATTTTAATACTAAAATATTTATTTTCAACATTTCTTCATTCGTTCTCCCTGGGTATTGAGAAGTTCATTGAAGTATAGATTGTTCTGAGGTGACAGCTTTGAAGATTCTGGGTAAATAGCTGGGCACACTCACCTATAATCCCAGCACTTGGGAGGCTGAGGCAGGAGGATTGGTATGAGTTGGAGATCAGCCTGGGCTACACAGTGAGTTCAAGGCCAGCTTGAACTGCATAGCAAAACCTTGTCTCAAAAAGATGCCCCCCCCAACAAAAAAAAAAAATTCTGGGTAATTTTTACTAAATCTTTTGAGATGTTCAAATGGCCTTCCAGGTTTTGACCACATTGACTAGAAATTATTGAATAAACTTTTTGGAAGATACATATAAGTTTAAGAATTATAAATTTTGGCAGGATATATTTAAATGAATGATACAAAAATTTTTGGCAGGACATATTTCATTAAAAACATTTATGTAGACATGATTTTATTTTGACAGATAATAAGTTCAGCAAGCCCATGTGCAGATTTCTTTTATCGAAGTTTATCCTCTGAATTGAAAAAGCCACAAACTCAGTTGTCTGTGCATACAGAAAAACATGCGGTAGAGGATGCTGTGAGACTGATTCAAAAGTGCAGTGCAGTGGATTTGAATATTGTGATATTGTGGAAGGTAGGTGCTCCTAATCTAGTCCAGCAAGCCTCATGTAGAGTTGTGTGATTCTTAAGCTCAAGAACAAAATACATACTACTTTGAAACTTTTGTCAGTATTGAAATCTTTTTATAACTTGTTTTTAATATCTTCACTGTGACTTTTTCTGACTAAAATTAGATGACTTATTTGTGTTTTATTTATGTGTTACTGAGAATATTGTGGACATGATAACCTTTATGAAAGGAGGTATTGTTAGACTTTATTCTGGGGCATCTCTACTCTGTGAGTAAGGAAACCGCTATAAACCTCTAGACACTTTATTACTCAAGCTCCAACAGCCCTTATTTTGTTAATAGTCATATGTCATTTATTTTGTTTTTTCATTTTTACCTTGCTTTATTGTTTGCTGGCGGTTTTGTTTTTGTTTCATTTTGTTTTTTGGGCTGGGGATTGAACCCAGGAGCATGGTAAACACTTTCTGTATCACTAAGCAATATCTTTAGCCCTGTAGGGATTTTTATTTTATTTATTTATTTATTTTTGGTCTGGTGTTGGGGGTTGAACCCAGGTCCTTCCACTTGGTAGGCATTGTATTTTTTTAATGACACAGTGCAACTGTACATCATACATAATTGTGGGGGATGAAAGACTTCACTAGTAGAGGGCTTTCCTAGATGAGGGCCTTTCCCCCCCCGCCCCCCCGCCCCCCCCCCCCCCCCGCCGAAGTCCTGGGGAGTGGACTCAGGGCCTTACACATGCTAGGCAAGCACTCCACTGCTAAACTTTATGCTTTTCCCAGATTTTCTCTTTAATGTGACCCCACGGTATTGTTATCTTATTCAACCAAATTAGTGGTAATTCCTTAATATTATCTAGTTGATGGTCCATGTTCCGTTTTCCCAGATTATTTAAAAAGACCATTTTACCTTTGCATGTTTTAGGCATACGTTGTGGAAGACAGTAAGCAGCTGATTTTGGAAGGTCAGCACCATGTTATTCTTCACACAATAGGAAAGGAAGCCTTCTCATATCCTCAGAAACAGGTAATAACATGGTTTGTTAAGGCGTTTGCTTGTTAACTTGTGGGGATTTTTGTGTGTAGCTGATTTTTGTGTTTTTAAACGGGTCTGGCTTTTTCAGACTTTCATATTAGGATTTGGTCAGGGGTTGGTGACAGAAGACTGATTAAAATTAGAAATGAATATTGATTTTAAAATTGCGCCGGGCATGGTAGCACACACCTGTGATCCCAGCACTGTGCAGGCTGAGGCAGGAGGATTGCTGCGAGTTCAAGGCCAGTGTTGGCTACAATGTGAGTTCAAGGCCAGCCTGAACTGCATAGTAAAACCCTTTTCAATAAGATAAAATTGATTAGCAGCTTTATAAGAGTATTAATATACATTTATGACCTTGGGGTTTCCTAAGATACGTGTTGAAACTAGAAATCATAACTACCAAAAGAATTGATCTGCTTGAGAGAAAAGAACCATATTCTCTGTATTTTCTCATTTGTTGTGACAGGATCACACTACTCCAGAACTCTAGGGAGCTTAAAGTAAAACATAAAGGGCAGCCTCTGGAATTGTACATTAATAAAGCACTTATATGCTGTCGGTTTTCCTAAGATACTACTTAATCTTGCTTAAAAATTCTCAGAGTGGACGTGAAAAAAGTTACACAAAATTAAATAAAACACAACAGAAAATGGTGAAGTCAACAGAAACAGCTGTGAGTGTGTCTCTGTGGGAGAGTACTTGACCGACATGCTTGAAGCCCTGGTTAGAGCCTCAGTTCTTTTTTTTAATTTTTATTGTTTGGAGACAAAGTCTAGCTATGTAGCTGAGGCTGGCCTCGAACTCAACAGCAGTCTTCTTGTCTCAGCCTCCTGAATGCTGGGATTGCAGGCATGAGCCACCATGCCTGGTTTAGATCCTCAATTGTGAAGGGAAAAAAAAAATCCCCAGAGAGAGACCATAAATGTAAGTGACATGAAGGTACTCTTGGCATAATACAGCCTACTATTTTGCAGAATTCTTTTTTGTAAATGGAAGGAGTATACTCTAAAGAAGTGATGACGAGTATGTTGTAAATATATAAACCAGTAACAGTTGGTTTATTATCAAGTTTTATGTACCGTGCATAATTGTACGCACTGTACTTTTATATGACTGGCAGTAGGTTTGTTTATAGCAGCATCACCACAAACACAGTAGCATACTCTGCTAGCACATGTTGATAGCTGCAGCTAGGTAATAGGAGTTTTTCAGCTCTGTTTGGAACTGGCACCGTACATACAGTTTATCATTGACCAGAGCATGAGTATATGGTGAATGACTCTTATTCCTGGAATTTGTGTGTGCCTTATTTATACTCACCAGATTCAAGTCTGATTCCCATTTGTTCTGTATTTTGCATTTAGCACATTAAAAGCATTTTTCCTTAAAAACCTATAAAAGGGATATCTTAAGGTATTTTCCCTTTTTTCTTTTACCTTTTGTGCATGAATTTTTTATGCAATGAACATATGTTGCCCTATAGAACTATTTAAAATAAAGTGATTCATTCATATTTTTTAAAAAAACTCCTTAGTGAATCTGAGGAGAGATACGCAAGGTGTCTCAGGAGAGTATTCCCAGTTGTATACAAATTGAATTCAGCCTGAGAGAAAAAAACAAAACTAAAGAAAGAAGCTGTGCAGCAGACCAGGAATTGATCATTGGTGAAGTCATTCAAGAGCCTCGTGTCTGGTACACGCCTGTTATCCCACCACTTGGGAGGCTGAAGTAGGAGGATCATGGCGAGTTGGAGGCCAGACTAGGTACAAGTGAGTTTAAGGCCAGTCTGAACTGTATAGCGAGACCCTGTCTCAAACAAAACAAAAGAAAAAACATTGACAAAAAGAAGACATTGCAGGTATGCACCCTGACATTTCCATAGCTAAGTGGGCTCTACTCACCCACATTAGTAATAGTGCAGCATCAGTTAACCTCTGTCATGGAGGGGATCCACCTGACACTGGTCAACATTATCCTGACATTCAGACTTCATACATTCATCTGGGGGCACTGTGTTACAGTTACTTAACATCTAACTGTAAATCAGCGCCAAGAAAATTGTAAGATTAAATAGTTGAGTCTATTAAGGCTGAGTGACTGTGGAAAAGAATAAAACTACCAAGGTAAATGTGTTACTTCTTGAGGCTTCCTGAAAGGCAAGCAGCTAACTCCATTTAAAATAGATGTGCATTAATATTACTAGCTTACTAAGAGTACATCAGTCTCATGTTTGAGTAATTGGCTAGTCAAAATTTGTTTAAAGTCCGCGATACGTTTTTTTTGTTTATTTTTGTGTTTTTTTGAGACAGGGTCTTGTTATACAGTTCAGGCTGGCCTTGAGCTCACAACGATCCTCCTGCCTCAGCCTCCCCAGTGCTGAGATTACAGGCCCATGCCACCATACCCAGCTGCAATATGTTATTGTATAGAAATGCTTTTTAAAAAAAAAAAAAATTGTGTTCAGGTACAGAAAAGTCTTTTATTTGATACTAGGGAATAAAGTAATCTGTGTAAGTAGATAACAATAGATACAACAGCTATAAAACTAAGGCAGACTGCATTTGGCCAATTGGCTATAGTTGACTAGTATTTGGGTATAGATCAGAATCAGGTAGGGTAGCAGGAAGTTAAAAATCAAAATTCTCTAAATGATGAGGGAAATAGAAAATAATACAGGATATCTCTGTTTTTATTTAGAGAATGATTAATATGGTGTACAGACTATATTGACTTTTTCCATGTTAACCTTAAGCTAATATACTTGAGACACTGTAATTATATAAAGTGTAGCAGTATATTTTCAAAATGAAATTTCAAGCCATTTTTGGATCTTCCACTATTGAAAAAGATGCTGTACACTGAAATCTGCAGCCAAAGTCCTAAGCAGTTTTTCTTGATGAGAGTCTCATTAACCTTTGAAATGGTCACTGTTATGAGCTCTGTTTTATGTATGGTAATTAAGTCTTAAATTATTAAGTAAGTTACTCAAGATCACAAAGCTAACGTGAAGTTGCTGGGGTTCCAGCACTAAGTAGGGAAGGAGTAAATGATTTTGGATCCTAAAATCTTTATTAGATTATATTGCAAATGATGGCAGCTGTTAGATTAAGTAATAGAAAAAGTGCTGTTCATGCTTCATACCTACTGGTTGTAACTTCATATATGTGTGTACAAAATGGAATTTTTTATTTCTATAAATCTCTTCTTGTCTTTTTTCAGGAGCAACCAGAAATGGAGCTGTTAAAATTTTTCAGGACAGAAAACACTGCGGCTTCCTCAAGACTATCTGTAGAGCAGCTTTCTAATCTCATTAAAACGAGTCTTCACTACCCAGAAACATTTAATCATCCATTTCATCAAAAAAGGTTTGAAGTTTATTTTTGTTAAAGCTTGTCTACAGTACGCATACAAAGATGTGGCTACACATTTATCTATTCAGACAGTGCATCAACCCAAGTATTGGAAAAGAGAAGTAGTTTACCCTTCCCAGTTCCCGTTTCTGTTCATCATGGTTAAGAATGTGCAGTGCCTCAGCAGCTGTGAGTTGCCAGAAGTTTCCGTGTGAAGAGCAGTTGTATCATTATGTGAAAAACAAGGATATAAATACATCGTTTTGTTTTAGACACAAATCTATGGCATGAGTACAGTACGGGCTCAGTTAACACGTCAAATTTAGAGAGTCGTTTCCTGAAGATTTACTCATCGCTACATTTCTTGAGGAATAGTGCTTTTGTGCTCATGATTTTGGTAAATAGCTTGAATATGTAGAGTTAAAATTCTAGAAATAACACATGCTAAATTTGATAGCACTTCAGAAGGTTGCCAGTTTCCAGATACAAGGTGGAGGGACATTTAGTAAAACCAGCTTGTATGTGGTGATGGAAAGGTATATGAGTTTTAGGGCAGGTTTAAATTGCCCTGGACAGGGCTGGAGTATGGGTGGGATAGGACGAGAAAGATGTTGACGAGTAACACCTGGGAGATGGGCTGTGAGGAGAGGAACTGATGAAAAGGACCGGATGGGAACAAGGAAGGAATCGGGAAGAAAAGAGCAACAAGAAAATGGTTTTATCTCAAAGACTGAGTGGGAACACGTCAAGAAAGAAATGGTTAACAGTTTAACATCCTCCAGAAGGGTCAGATAATGAGTGCAGCCATTATTGATGCAACAGTGCTTCCCATCACGCTGTTGCAGGATGCAGTAGCTTTCAGCAAGGCATTTTCTTCTGTGCTTCTGGGTCTGTAGGGTGACTGCTGAAGGCTAAAGCAGTTTGGCCCCCGAGGAAGGTCAGGTTTACATTGTGCCATATATATTCAGGGATTAGTCCGTGGGCAGCAGTCACCTTTTCACTGAATATCTGTGGAGTACAAAAAGTGAACCAAATTGCAAATACACATTTAAGGCCTCTGCTGCATCAAAGATACAAATATTTCATAGTCCAAGTAGTATCATCTCAGTAATCACTAAGATCGATCCATAGTCCACACAGTAGGAAGGTAAGGAAGTGAGTAACTGCTGAACGGTAGTCACAGTCATCCCAGTAACCAAGACTGAACTACTGAAGTAGAGGTTCCAGTAGCTGGGGCGTCCTGGTGAACCTCAAGAGCAGATGAGAGAGAGTGACTGAGATGGCTGGAGAGTGGGGGACTGAGTATTACTTGAGAGGTAGCTGCTTTACGGTCATGGCGTTGGGCTGCTGAGTGTTCGGATAGTGCTGGAGATTAGGGGGCTGGCAGGTCAGGATGTGAGCGGGCGGTGACCGAGTCGTCTCCCTCGATGTAGTTGTCCAAAATGATGACAAGATTTGGGGCTGAAAGGAAGAAAGCAAACCCATGCTGAAGCTTTTAAACTGAAACTGGGGGATGACGTGGGAAAGGGAGCTAGGGAAGTGTTTCTCACCAGGCGCCAGATCAATTTGCAGATGGAGGAGGAAGCGCTTGTTTCAAACCGCATCTTTATTTTAAATATTTCAAAGTTCATATTCTTTCTTCCCTCTAAAGAGAATCTGCTGTACTACGATACTGTCGAGGATGTGCTTTCGCAGTATAGGAACAGAAAAAAAGAGCAAAAGCTTTGGGATAGTTCATGACACAGGAATGAAGACATCCTTACAGGAAAGGAAGAAAAAGAGCATCTGGAAAGTTTAAGAAATGACACTGAGCTTGGTATGATGTAATTGCAGTTACTTGGGTGGTTGAGGCAGGAGGATCACAAGCTCAAGGCCAGCCTAGGCAACTTAGCAAGATTGTCTCAAGGTGAAAATTGGCTAGAAGGTAGCTCATTGATAGAGCTCTTGCTTAGCAGCTCTTAGAAGCCCTGGGTTTCATCCCCAGTACTGCCAGAAACAAAATGGGAGGCAAAAACTACATAAACTTTATTATTTTTTTTTACTTTATTTTTTTAAGACCAGACTATATTTATTGAGGGAAAGAAAGCTTCTGTCCAAGGGAGGGACAGAAGGGGGCCCTGAGTGGGTTACCCAGCACTCTGTCTTTTTTGGGAACTTTTACAGAGTAAAACCACGAGGTGAGGCAGGTCCAAGGTAGGGGAAAATGGACGAAACTATGGTCAGCCAATAAGAATTGTTCAGGTAAAATTGATTAAATCGGGATCAAATGGGATGCGAGTCACATAGCAAGTGGGCATAAATACAGAACAGGGGCTTTTCCTGTAAGGGATTGGGTCAGGGAGTCTTCAGAGTGATTGCTACCTATTTAGAATATCAATCCCTGATGTCCATCCCTAGGGAGGTATGTGGGTGCATTGTTTAGTCGGTTTGTCTTGAGGTCTGGCCCACAGGTATCTTATGCTGTCTTCCATGTTGGCTCTTCTGAAAGCCTGGCCCCTCTGACTGCCTATAATACTTCTGTCTAACTCTGCTGCCTGTAACATTCCCCTCTCTGAAGAAGTAACCCGAACTGCCGTGAGGGAGTAACGGGTGATGACCGCTTTGGTATCTTCAGGCGGAAAGGGGTAGTAGTTGTTGATGGGCAGTCAGAGATATTCTCCAGAGGGTCTGTCTAAAGGCCCTCAAGAGACACCAGGCGTTTTCATCTTGTGTAGGCATATAGCTTTAAATCTCCCTGCAAGGACCTCGGTGGGAAACTCCAAAATGATACAGGAAAATAAAAACTCCAACCTGAATGATATCTGGGACGAGTTTGTGTACTCTAGAATGAATAACGAATTTTAGGAGCAACGGAGGTTAAGAGAAGAGTATATTTATTGAGGGAAAGAAAGCTTCTATCCAAGAGAGGGACATAAAGGGGGCCCGAGTGGGTTTACCCGTACACAAACTTTAAGATAGGGAAAGATGTTGGAAGAGATACAGCATCTGAGTGGGGTGTGATGGTGCACATCTGTAATCCCAGCACTTGGGAGGCTGAGACAGGAGAACCCCTGCGAGTTTGAGGCCAGCCAGGGCTACATAGTTCAAGACCAGCCTGAACTGAATAGTGAGACCCCCATCTCAAAAAACAAACAATGGCTGTTGCTAAGAAGGCTGCTGAGGAAGCCAGGAACATAGAGAGGGAGGGGGGGACTGGGTGGTGTTCTTAATGGAAAGGGAATTCTGGAAAAGAGTAATATAGACATGGGGGAGGAAGTGGAAGGAGAACGTAAGAAAAAATAGGTGACCAGCAGTAAACATCTGAATCATGTTAAGTGCCATAGGCTTTTCATTTTGCACATCAAACCTAGGGCCCTGTGCATGCTAGGCAAGAGCTCTACCACGGAACTTCTCCCTGAGCCCAAACTTTTCAAAGTAATAGGTTATGTCAGGTGCTGTTTGTGGAGCTTGAGAGCATGTGCCAGTCATTCTCAGTTCTTACATGTTTTATCGTACCCAGTCACCACAGCAAACCCCAAAGGTAGCGGGTACCATTATTATTCCCAACTTGCAGTGAGAGGAGTGGGGTACAGTGTTGTTAAACTGATATTTGAACTCTAGCAATGTTACTATAGGCCCAGGCCTTTAATAATGATCATATGCTTAGACACAGAAGTCAGGGAATAGTTGTCAACAGTTTGATCTGTAGGCAGTTTGTGGCTCTTCGGAAAGACTTGTGTAAAGCACGCTTTTTTTTTTTTTTGTCTTTTTGAGACAGGGTCTCACTATGCAGTTCAGGCTGTCCTTGAGCTCACTTTGTAGCCCAGGCTGGCCTCGAACTCCCAATGATCCTCCTGTCTTAGCCTCCCGAGTGCTGGGATTACAGGCGTATGCCACCATGCCCGGCTCAAAGCATGCATTTTCAAAATGTGATTCCACATCAGCAGCCGCTGCAGCAGCAGCAGCATGTGGCAACTTGATAGAAATGCCACTTTGAGGGGCCTCTCTCTACACCTACTGGATCAGAAATCGTGTCCACCTGGTGATTTTTCTGCGTGCTCAGGTGTGGGAAACACTGGCCTAGAGATGGGATTGCATCAAGATGCTGAGTATGAAGCTGTTGCTGTAAACCCAGACACGTGATGATGTGACCTTGTAAGAGAGTAATAACCCGGTCCCAGAGGTTGTGGGAGAGAATCGACAGGACGTGAGGAAGGTGGGGAACTGGCTGGGGAGGAGGGGGCTCAGTGGGCGCTGATCCCTAGTTCTGCTGGCATAGATGTGGGAGCTGCTCACTGAGTTAGTGAGTGGAGGAAGAGGAAAAACGAAGGTGTGTTTCATGTTGGACCAGGAGACATCCAGATGTTCACATTGCTTCTAGAAGCATTTTGATAAGGCACAAAGTGTTGGACATTTGAGGATCAAATTGGAAGTGAGTAGTGTAAAACTCCTGGGTTTTTTGCTTTGCCTACAAATTGTGCATCGGAATTTAACCTAACAAAATGCTGTAGATTGGAGGCCTCATTCGGCCTGTTGCCCTCCTTGCTGAGTGAGCTCAATGGCAGAGGTCAGGGCCTGTATCAGTACATACCGGGGGATGTTTTCTTTTTGGTACTGGAAATTGAACTGAGGACCTTGTGCTTGCCAGGCAGGCGATTGTGCTGCTGAGCTATATCCCTGGCCCTGGGGGACGTTTTCTAAATTATCATCTTAGGTTTTGTTTAGGGAAGTCTATGTTATTTATGGTGTTGTTTCTAAAGTATATGTTTAGATATTTACAGTGTTGTTTACAAAGTATATAGTATTTTTATATTTATGTAGATATTTAGATGTTGAGACATTGTATTAATGTATTTTTATGTACAAAATAAATTATTTTGAATACTTTTCCAACTTTATTCTTTCCCTTACTCAAAGTTTGTTTTTAAGGAGCTTATGTTTCATTAGATATTCTTAAATGCTATTTTCAAGAAAAAAAAAAAAGAATATACAACTAACCTTTTTAATTTTTTTTCCATAGCCTTTGTTTAGTACCTGTCACACTTTTACTTTCAAATTGTTCTAAGGCTGATGTAGATGTAATAGTTGATCTTCGGCATAAAACCACAAGGTAAAGATTTATTTAGTGAAAGATTATTTTGTAGTTTAAGGCTATTATGATTTGAAAGCAATTTGACATTTAGAAGTTATGCAAATAATTACCTAGTGTGCATAAAGCCACTCAAGCATGCCCTGATTCTCTGTGTGTGGGTATTGCAGAAGTGTTAGAGAAATATTAAAGGTTTTTCCTGATCATAAAATAATACGTTATGGCATCTCATTTTTCTGAGTGCCCACATTCCAGTCTTGGGTGCATCCTAAAATCTCTGCCTAATAAACCCTTCCTGAGCCTCTTAAAAAATAAAGTCATACTTAACAAAACAACAAAACTCAGGTCTGTACTGCTATACTTGATATTCCTAGAGCCAGGTCCTTTTTGGATTCTTAGAAAAATAATTGATATATATACCAAATATTATTGTGCAATTATCCAAACAGCATTTGGGACAGCTCTCTGAAATCCACACACATTATTTGATTGTTTGTATAATAAATAATTAGTGCCTTATTGTTGGATTATTTTCTATATTATAAAATTTTACTATTATAAGACATTCTCACATGCCCATGTATTTTTGTAATTAGGTAACTGAAAGCTCAGGTTTCAAAGCAGATTCCATCATACTAGCTACCGTTGTGGGCATTAAATGAGCAATACTCCACTGGGTAATAATGCAAGCTTAGCATGTGCCTAGAAAACAGTAACTGTTAATGCGTGTCAGCTATTACAGTAAAACCATTACTTCATAACATAATTTCTAAACATAGAAGTGCTAGATGAAAAGTGTATGTTAATGGGACTTTGGGGGAAATTTCATAAAGGAAAATCTTAGAATTTACTATTTTGTTCCTCTAGTCCAGAAGCATTGGAGATCCATGGATCATTCACGTGGCTCGGACAGACACAGTATAAACTTCAGCTTAAAAGCCAGGAGATTCACAGTCTGCAGCTGAAAGCATGCTTTGTTCATACAGGTGTTTATAACCTTGGGACTCCTAGGGTGTTTGCTAAGTTATCGGACCAAGTTACAGTGTTTGAAACGAGTCAGCAGAGCTCCATGCCTGCCCTGATTATCATCAGTAATGTATGACAGCTTGCAAGTTCATACTCAAATCCACAAGAATCAGTTTAATTTTGCCGAATGGGTTTACAGCAGTATTTGAAGTCCCTAACTTGTTATGGAGGTTGGTGTCTGATCACTGCAAAAATACTTCAACTTGTCATTTTGTTGATGCAAAGCACGTTGGACTAAGAGTACTTATATTCTTTTTATTTCTTTAAACCTGGTAATTTACATGCTCATATTACAGAATTTCAGCGTATCCATGCACCTTATTAAGCCCCATCTTAAAAATGTCTAAATCTGCTGTTACAGCTTGTTGATGGTATGTGAATATTAGGAGATGAGGAAGAAAAGGCCTTTGTGGGAATATTCTGTTAAGCCATTAGTCTATAAAGCCCAGCTTTACTGTGAAGTTCTATAGAGTGTTAAATACAAATTTTCCTGTCTGGCTTCACACAGTACTCTAAAATCAGTTCTGAATTTCGGTTATAGAGTCTTCATATTTCGGTCTCTGGTGGACCCTATGGCTTATACATAACTTTGTAAAGAGAAAAGTTTTTCCTTATACCTTGGATATAGTTTTGAAAGAGATTTGATTTTTCTTTCCTTGTTCATCTCAGTGTAGAGTGCACTATTTCGCGATGAGATTTGTTTGTCATTAAAATCATATTCTTTATTATATAACTTTAACAGTTGAGTTGATCTGTTTAAAATAAAAATCTCAAGTTAATTAAAAATAAGCTTTTCAAAAATGTATTATATTTATAACAAATGTACTGTAAATAGAATAAAGACATGCTATTCACTGTATAGATTTATTAGATGCCTTTTTTAAACCTGGTTTTATTTCCAATAAATGCCAACCATATGTAGCAGGTACCAGCCAGATCTGTGAAAGCTTTCTCATCACCTTTCCAGAAATGAAGTACTCACTCTTTGTGTTTAAGCTTCTTGATGGCTTTGTTGTACATGAACAAATGAATTTTGTCTTTAAGTATGTCATGCTGATGCTTGGTTACAAATGTGGATAATCCATGTTTAGTCTCATGGAGAGGAAGGTAAAAACTTTTGAACCGATTACAAACAACTGTATTACAGACTTGTGCTGGTTTTGACAGACTAGGTAATTCAGCCTTTGTGCTAAAGAGAAGTAAAAAGCCTGAACAAGATAGAAGAAAACATCTTCCAAGAGCCAAAATGTGGACAGATGAGCTCAGCATTACTGGGGCTGCTTTGCCTGTGAGTTTTTACTCAGGAGGAAGCAGCCTGGAGCCAAAGCTCTGTTCTGGCTTTTAAGACAAGTGTGCTGCACGAGGCGCACCCCTGTGATCCAAGCTCTCGGGAGACTGAGGCAGGGAGAGCACGCACCATGAGCTCAAGGCCAGCCTGGGGTGCATAGACCCTGTCTCAAAAAAAATAAATGTAAGTCAGAGGAAATCTAAATTGAAGCAAGGAGAGGAAAAAGGGTGGAATATAGGGAAAAGGGTAAGAGAACTATTGGACTCAGAGATACTTAACGTGCATTATTTGAGTCATAAATGAAAAGAGAGAGATGGTAACGCTGAAGCAGTTTTGAGAGACAGACATCAGTTATAGGTTCAAGACGTTGTGAATCCCAAATAACATAAATAAAAAGATGCACCAGTATCCAGAGGCGTCGTAGTAAAACTGCCGAAAGTCAAAGATAGCACAAAGGCAGAAACACTTGAATCCAGAAGAACAAGCCCACATGCGCTCCTCCCCTCCTTTCCTCCATCCTCCGCTTGTTCTTCGGCAAGCACTTTACTACTGAGGTGCACCCCACCTCTGAAACTACCTTTAATAATAGTAGTACTTGCACAGATAGATAGATCACGAAAGTAATGCGAGCCAGAAGGCAGTGGGCTGTCCTCAGACATGGATTAAAATGACTGAAGCCACAGTTCTAAATGCAGCAAGAATGCCCTGAAGAGTGGGAATTGAAACACACTTCCACACAGAACCAGAGCACTCCCTTTCCAGCTGACCCCGGATAGTGACAGCCATCCAAATCTAAGTCCTTCCGTTTTATTTCCCCAAATAAGTACACAAATCAGAGCAGATGAAATCAGTCACAAACCATGCTGTTAGTAGCACTAGAAAGAGTCTACTGCTAGCCTCAAAAGTTTCCGTAGTGGAGAGTGTAGTTCTGTGACGGCCCTTCTCCAGCTTCTGCTGCAGGCTTTTGGAAAGAGGAGGTGGGGAAGGTGGGAATCCCAGAAGACTCTGGAAGACAGAGGGAAGCTGACAGGTACATGGAAATCACTTGAGAAAGTCCAACTTAGCGACCAGGGGGCGGGGTAAGACGGGAATAAGGAAGAAGAGAGGACAGTACAATGGCAGAGCTTTTCCTTCCATGGAAAGTTTCGCTGAGCTCCAGCAAGTGCGTCGTGAAGCCAACAGTGTCCACTAGAGGGCACTAAGAGTGCACTTTTGTTACCAGCGTGTCTTTACCATTTGCCTTAAAATGTTGAAATTAGCATTATATGAGGTAACATAATGGACTTGAAGGGCTTCCTAGAGAAAACTGGATAGTTTTTACCTCTAAATGACATGTTTTGATCAATTCTCCCGTGGCAGGTAGGGTGGAATGTCTGCCTGATTGGCTTTGGGATCTGCCGCAGGGATTGGCGGCGCACTTCCAGGTGTGCCGGGTGGGTCATGGAGGTGTGCTTTGGCGGCTCTGCCTGGTCCCTTGCTGCTCTCTCTCCACCGATTCCCCACTGCCGGGAGCCAGGCAGCTTTGCTCCCCCAGGAAATCCTGGCCTTGGAGCCTGGCGCCGTGGAGCGAGTCCCCATCAAATGTGAGCCAAGTGAAACCTAAACGAGTCCTTTAAGCAGCGGCTGCTGGGTACTGTCTCAGCAGTGAGAAAACTGGCCGATACATCCCCTCGTAGCAAGGCACAGGACTCCTTTCAAAGAGATTCTCGGTAATTATTCCGTCGTTCATGTAATAGAGCATGTTCCAACTCATCTAACGCCCAATTGTAAAACACCAGTGATCCAAACTCTGTTTAATGAAAGCATGAAGATTTGTGGCGGTAAAAGTTTGCTATATCAAAGCCTGGAACAGCAGCGCCTGAAGATTGAATATCTGACAGCCAGGTTTTCTAAAGGCCCTTGGGTGGCCCTCGTTGGGCACAATTTCCCACCGACCTACCTTCTCTCAGTCTCTGATTGCAACACCCCACTCTCCTGCTCTTGGACCATCTCCTAAGGTGCAAGTGTTGTGTCTACTGTGAGTGAACTAGCAGTGCTGATCACTCCTGCTCGTGTAGCGCAGGTCTTCCTGGGGCTCCCCAGAAATAAACGAATCTGTTCTTGGGGTTCTCCCTCCCCAGAGCCCACTCCCAAAGTGGCAGTGCTCATTCAGTGAAATGCTGAGTACCATGACGCTTGGAGTAACGTCTTCGATCTCTATAGCTAAATTTTCTTAGTAAACCGCATTCTGAATTTCATAAAGTTGAGTTTCTTATTTTTAAGTTTTCGTGGTACTTTTTTTTTCTTTTTTTCTTTTTGAGCGAGGGTTTCTCTGTGCGGTTCAGCATGGCCTTGAACTCACCCCAGGCTGCCTGGAACTTGCAGCCATCCTCCTGCCTCAGCCTCTCAAGTGCTGGGATTACAGGTGTATGCCACCACGCCTGGCTGAGCACAACATTTTGAGAAACCTTCAATGGGGAGCAAAGTGACCAGCTTTCCCCCTTTGCTACTGTGTGCGTCCACCTTCTTACGTCAGTGCGTGCGGCTGCCTCTGCCTCTCCCGGAACTTGGGCAGAGGGCTGTGTAGGAGGCGCGAAGATAAGGGGAGGCCTTCCCGCACGGAGCTGCTCTGTGTCTCCGGGCACTCTGGTCTCCGCAGGCTTTGCTTTGGCTGTTGTCCGCACGTGTTTGCAGTACGTGACGTCTGCATGCATCTTGGGAGACCCGTGTGTATGCATAACAGCCTGTTTCTGTGTTTAACCCCATCCCCTTCCCACCTCCCTCCTTCCCTCTGTCACTAAGTCCCCTTTCCCCATTTTTCTTCTTACTATTCTTGGCTCCTGTTTAGGACATGTTTATAGTCCTTGTTGATATTTGGTATCTGTATATGGCACACTTCAGATCTTCTAATTTCCCCTCCGCCCCTGCCTGCCAATTAAACTATACATATATTTCACATTAATTTATGGAGTCAAGTCAAGAAATGGATAACTGCCCTCATAGGGTTAGATATTCTTACCAAGGTAATATTTTAATATTAATATAATATGAATGCTTTTGTGTACAGAAACAAGGAAGTGGGTCTTTCCATGCTCATCTGCGTCTTGGTCATTTTCTTCACAGACACAATACCTGACACCCACAACTCGGGAGGAGAGGTGTCTTCTGGTTCACAGCCTTTGAAGTTTCTGTCCATGGTCTGCTGGCACCGAGGCAGAAGGTGTGGTGGGAGGGCCTGACCAGGAGGAAAGCTGTTCACCTCATGGTGGCTGGAACCCAGAGGGAAGGGAGTGGGAGACACACTCCCAGGTCATGCCCGCTCCAGACAGCACACTCCTGCTGGCCTCGGATGATGGCTACATGTGTGAGCATAGCACCCCACCTCCGAGCGCTTGAGAGTTTGGGGGGACGTTCTAGATCTAAACCATAATGTCTGCCTATAGTAATGATTTTTAAACATAAGTAACTCTGTGACATAGAAACTTGGATACTTTCCACAAATGCACGTTTGCCAGTTATAATTATCTTCAAATCTAAGCCGAGAGCTGCCATTCTGAACGTGATCAATCACATTTATCCAACCAAGATTTCTCTGCACTTCAGCCCTGGACATCGCCACTTACAGGTCCTACCAATACCTGGACTCAGCGTGTTGGAGCTACCCTAGACCCCAAGCTGCTTGCTCCTCCTGCCTCCCTCACCGGTGTGTGGCTCTACCACCCCGCCTCACACCACAGCCAGGCATGTAAAACACTTCATCATCCCCCATGCCTCCTTTTTCCTTCCCGTCCCCCTTCCCCAGTCTTCTTTAATAATCTCTCTCCAAATACTTTCATGTCATTCTCTTTTTAATTTTTTTCTAGATTTCCCATATGAGAGAGAATGCGTGATACCTGATGTTCTGTGTTTGGTGTTTCATATTAAGTGTTACTTCACTGAACACGATGGCCTTCGTGTCTAACCGTTTTCCTGCAAATAACAGTTTCATTTTTATGACCAGATAATAGTGTACATACACCATATTTTCTTAATCACATTCATCTGTTGATGGGCAGCTAGGCTGTTTCCATAGCTTAGCTGTTCGGAATTATGCTGCAAAAAGCATGGATATGCGGTTCTCTCTGTAGTATGCTAATTCTTTCCGGAATATGCCTGTGAATCCTCTTTTTCATAAGGGAGAATCCAATTCCTGACAGATGGGCTCTTCACTCTGAGACTTAGTTTAGATGTATCTTTTATCACACCGCAACCTGGTACCCTGTGCTTGTTTTTTCAAAACCTCTTTTGGCTTCTTCCCAGCATCGTGTCTTGTCTTACTTCTGGGTCTTTGTGGAAACTCTTTCCTCTCTCTGGAACACACTGTCCCCCACACCCGTGGCACTGTCCTCCTCGTTCCAGTTCCCTCCCTCCTGAAGCCTCCTGAAGTCCCCAGCAGGAATGCCCAGCTCCGGGCATTGCCTGCTGCCTCCGGCCACCAGGTCCTGGCCAGATCACTGGTCATTGCACGCTGCCCAGGACCCATTTGTTATTTGGCTTGTGGCTTGTGGAAGACAGCTGGTGAGGTGTGGCCAGGGGTCTACATTCCAGCCTCT